AAACACTCTGCCGAGGAAGCTTCAGGTTCGTTCCTATACTAGCAGCTAGTCAGTTTGATGTAGAGAGTTAGCTAACTTACCTGACCGAAAGCAAATGTGTATGTTCTCCAGAAAACATCTCAGTCCATGGACCTATGACTCAGTCTCAGTTCTTGGGTTCACTTGGAATAAACTTCCGAGTTGATGCGTTGCTACAGAACTGTAACGACGAACAAGCCGAGTCGTTGAGGGCAGGATACTGGCAGCTTGTTGGAGATGGTGAAGCACCCTTTTGGGAAGGACCCGATGAACAGACACCGACTGGAATGGGGACAAGGTATCTTGCAATGGCTATTGTCAACAAAAACCAAGGCATTCCAGCTCCGTTCCAGTAAGAAAGATTGAAACTTACAGACAATTTTGGTTTTTCTCTCTCAGCACAATAAAAAATAAAAAGCTTTTGTTATCATTAGGATGTTCCAATCAAATGTTCTATTAAAAAAAAAACACTTTTATCTTCTAACAAATGTTTGGAAGAAATAGTCATGAGACTTATCCATATCGAGAGTGAAATAGTTTTTTTTGGATTCATTATCAAAACTATTTGTACTTAACATTTTTTTAAAAGTAATTGTCGATATATAAAACAATTGGATAACTAGAATTTGTTTTGGAGATTTGGTAAATAACGTACAAAGAAGTTTTGCAATTGTAATTTTGTATTGTAGATTTTTTTGGTTTAACATTACAGAAAATTATTTGTACTTCAAAAAAATTTCAAAAAATTGTGGATTTAACTATAGTTGCAATTTGTAGACAAAAAAAAAAACTATAGTTGCAATTTGCAACCTTTAACCAAACAACGGCTATATATAGATGACGTCAATAATATGAAACTTTGTGAAAAAGGTTCTAAAAACAAGATAGTTAAGGAAATTTTCACATCAAGGAGACACGAAATGTATCAATTGGTTGGTTATATGATCTGGACTTTTTAGTCCTCTTTTGATTTCCTACATAACTAAAATGAGTTTATTAAATAATGTTTATGAGATTTTGAAGTGTACCACATATGTACAAAACATATAAAGCAAACATAAAGCAAAACATATGTATTAATTAACATCATATAATATATATTAGAAAAATAAGGAACTAGACCGTTCTTAGATAATTCATCACACAACAATTATAACAACTCCAAAGTCCATTGCTTCAGATTTAGAGAATTATCGCATCATGTTGTCCTTTTAGAGAATCATCGTATCTTTTGTCTTACCTCGTGAAGGGATCTCCCATGGCTGAATACAAAATCGATGAATCAATCTTTAAAGTAATGTTTTCTTTCTTGGTCTAAAAGAATGTCTTGGTTCCCATATAACCCACATCCATAGAAGGCGGTTTTGTCTCCTACAACCTTTAGTGCCACCGTTTGTGCATCGACTGCTCCAGGGTTGGGTGCGGTTGATGTGTTCTTATTTATGCAAAAAAACAAAACATTAAAATTGAGAAACTTTTAAAAGACCATGGTTTGAATATTTCTAGCTAGTGGCTAAAACCAGCAAACTTGCGTTATATTATTTAGTATTCAATATATTATATCGAATGAGTATTGATTTATACTTTATACCTGATTGAATCATAATTTTTTTTTTATTGAAAACATGACAAGAATAATTTACTTGCAAGTGCTCGATAAATATATTGCATGATAATATAATTGTTACATGGTTTGGTATACATTCTATATACCTTAATTTCAGATCTTCCTTAATTTTTCACTTTAGAAATTTACATTATATATACCTTACTTGTCTAAGAGAGAATCTCAAAACTACAAAGTTATGTTCGAGTAAGTATCCTCTATTTATTGAAAAGAAAGTACATTATAAAAACAACATTTGTAAGGGTATATAATTACATTCAAATGTCATTACAAATATAGGGTTTTAAGAAGAGATTAATAATAGTGAATAAGGATAAAAATATCAAATACTAATTTATTTAATTTAATAAAATTATAAATACGAAAACACATTTTTCTTTTAAAAAAATATGAATAACCAATCAAAATCAACATATAAGATTTGATATCTAATTTATCATATTATTTTTCTACTCCAAAGTTTTATACAACGCTCTTCAATTCGTTTGTAAGATGTCTTGATGTTCATATTGAACTATTTAGGCCGATTGATATTGCAATAACCAAAAACAAGGCCATACGTCTGAAACCATATAATGGCCCTGTTCGTTTAATCACCGCCGGCGGTAGCGGCAAACGTTGCCGCAGGTTGTTGTTCGTTTTGTCGCCGCCGCCGCTGCTGCTGCCTCAATATTTATGTTCGTTTCGTTGACGTAATCGCTGCCGCTGCCGCTACCGCTGATATTAACTTTCGTTTTACAAACGCTGCGGCAATTTGCCATTCAATTTTTGTAAATTTGTATAATTTTATTTTTAATCAACAAATTATAACTTAAATGTATTTTGAATCAAAAAAATGTGACTTAAATATATTTACATTCATAAGAAGCATTTATTTAGCTGGTAATAATTAAAATATATTTTGATCAACATAATGTAACTTAAATATATTTACATCCATAAAAAAAATATTCACCTAGTAATGGTTTAAATTTAATTCAATATCGAAATGTAATTTAAAAATATTTACATCCAATAAGAAATATTTTTTTAGCTAGTAATAATTATTTTTGATAAATATATAATTCTAACAACATATTTTGTGATTAATCATGAGCTAAATTAAAACAAAAATAAAAGAGATAGACAAAGTCATTAACTAAAAATAATAATCAAAGTCATAAACATAAAAGATAGAACACAAACTTAAATAATAAACGAAGTCATAAACAAAAATAGTAAAAATATCTAGTAAGGTAAACGCCCTTTACCATATTCGTTAGTAATATTGGTACGCAAAGCTTCCATCGCTCGATCACCCGTCGGCTCATATGCAATATGTCCTTCTTCTTCCTCTTCTTCTTCTCCGTCTTCTTCCTCTCCTTCTCCTTCTCCTTCTCCTTCTCCTTCTTCTTCTCCTTCTACTTCTTCATCACCAGGATATTCTTCTGTGCTTTGCCAATGCGAAAAATCATCATCTTCTTGATGTGAATCCCGTATGAAATTGTGTAGTGCCATCGTCGCTGTTACAAGCTTAATCCACTTAGTCAAACCATATTTTGGATGCTTACGATCCAAAATCCTTCATTTTGCTTTCCATACGCCAAATGTCCTCTCAATCACAGATCGCAAACCTGAATGCTTCCGGTTAAACAACTCTCGTGCAGTCACTGGCGGTCCTCCTCTTGCAAATTGACCAAGATGATATCGCATCCCGCGATGTGGACCAAGATAACCTCTCCTAGTAGGATATCCGGAGTCAACAAGATAGTACTTTCCACTAGGCGGATGTGGGAAAGCAGGTTCATGCTCGCACAATGTGTCAAAACCTTTGTATCATGTGCTCTACCAGGTACACCGACATACGCGTATATGAACTTCATATCGAAATTACATATAGCAAGAACATTTATGGTAAGTTCTTGCTTTCTACCTTCATATGCTTCAACAGATCGACTAGGCGGGCGAACCGGGATATGAGTTCCATCAAGTGCTCCAACACAATCTTTAAAAAATGGCCAATATCGATCATCATTCTTCAAAACAGGGTTTACTCTTGTAAATTCACCTTCTTGTGGCTTAAGCGTATCTGCTGCAAACTTGAGGAGAGCACTCATAACATCATCAATCTTTGAAAGCAATTTTCTATCAAACTAAATGGAACCAGAAAACTATCTTTATATTAATGGAAAGATCTTGCTGTCTAGTTTCCAGAACATATTTCAGATATAAAATCCGAGGTCTTTAGCCACACAAGCAACACAATCAAATAATCTCAATCCATTATAGCAAAATCCATCAAAACAACACAATCAACTAATCTCTATCTATGCTAAAACAGATATGGAGAAATTACAGAAGAAGATCCAGAATAGCTTACCAAGAGAACAAAGATGAGAGCAGAGGAGCAGAGAAATCGAATCTGGAAATAATCTTCTCTTCTTCACCGTTCTTCTTCTCTTAGGTTGAGAAATTGTAAAACATTGAACAAGGGTATTTTGGTCAATTCCCATATTGAACGCAACTTTCAAATTACGACCACTGATTAAAATTGGCGTTTCAAAATTCTCGCCGCAAGACGCTGCGTTTGCCGCTGCGTTATGACGCAGCTCCATGCGGTGACGAAACGAACATCATCACCTGCGTCCGCCGCAGCCGCAACTACCTGCGGCTGCGGCGGTGAAATGAACAGCCCCAAAGTATACATCTCAATTATGGTATATGTGGTCTGAGTATTCCTAGTGGCGACTTAAAGGTCGTTAAACATGAACCGTAGTTAAAAGTATACTTGAATTACAAAACGGTTAAGTTCGGATCGAGTACCGGTTTTTCCGGTTTTTTTTTGGTGGTTGAAAAGAACCAAAAATATTTTAGATATTTGGTAAGCTTACTTAAATTGGGTCAATTATCTCGGTTAATTCAAATAAATTTGGTTTACTTTTGGGTAATACGGATAATTTGGTTACCTTGATTCAGTTAAATTCGGATAATACGGATAATTTAATTAAATTTGAGTAACCGATCAGTTAGGCCAAACCGAGCCAAGCCGGTAACCGATTGCATATTATAATTCCTTCCAATTGGTTTTCTTCCCTTAACCAAAACCGAACCGAAACCCAAAAATCTATGTACAGTTCAGTTCCGTATTTTTGGTTCGGGTAATATTCCCAGGGCTGACACCACACTGCATATTCTTCAGAAGCAGAGATTAAAATAATGTTGTTGAAACAGAGTTTTCTTAGCACGAGTCTTTCTCTCCAAAGACGAATTCAAGCTGAAGAAATTGGTTAAGGCCGCCAAAAGTTATTCGTATGCATCAGGTAATATGATATTACAAGAGCTTATTAGTAGACAATAAGAGAACTAAGCAAGGACATGGCCAAAAACAAACATAAAGGAGATAATTCTTATTGGGGGAAGGGTTTAAATACACGAAACTCATCATGAAAAGCGACATAAACAGTGAACGTTAACCGCAAGATTGTACAGCAGATTTCTCTGGTAAAAAGAGGAGCGATGAAGAAACCCAACAACAACAACAATATTAGGTTTTTCTTATTCTCCAATTTTTCAGACAGATTTTTCACAATTTATATATGATGTTTTCGACATCTTACCAGACTCAAAACATGTAGACAACGCTGTCGTGGATCCTTGATTTCTGGTTCTGTGCAACACATTCGGATATCCACATCAGGTTCCTGATCTCCTGCTCCCTCAACCTCATGTACGCAAAGAATACAGCGTAATGGAACTGAAAATGTCATGTTTTAAGCAACCACTGTTAGTATTAGACCTGAATTGTGAGATATAGCGCATCACATTATGCAATTGCGCTCCAGGTTCTTTGCGGTTCATTTGGGGGCAGGGAGACAAACCTGCTGCTCAAAGGCTAGGCAAAGCCTTCTGACTTCTTCTTCATAAAATGCCTTGTCCAGCATCTGGCTCTCTCCATAAGACATCTTAGAGAATATAGCTTGGTAAGGAGGGTACTTCTCCATTACACCACGAACCTGACAGTGAATGATAATGGGATTCATTGAGCTATATTCATAGATGACTAAATGTTCTATAATTATAAATGTATTAGCTTGTTGGTTTACCTGATCTATATCCTCGCAGATAGCAAGCTCCTCGTGGCCATATGGATAGCTTCAGAAGCAAAGATCAAAACAATGGTGAGAAATATATAAAACCATCAGAAGGAATACTATCAATTGACTGTAGACTACTTCTTACAGGAGACCAAAGTTAGAGTACAGTTTCTTCCTGTCTTCTCTTGTGAGCTCAGTACCAATGCTGCAATGCAAAGAAAATTAATTTCGGTGAGCAGATAAACAAAGCAACATAACAATGGTAACATCAGCTTGTGGTTTCATGCAAGAAGCAGTAATTAATTACCTATTGATGGTGATATTCACTGCCCTTCTGTCGGCCTCAAAGGCCAAAAGGTCAGACATAATCTCTGCTGTTGCACCACCAAGTTTCTATTAACGATAAACAACAACAAACAAAAAGAGAGGCCGAGGTTAGCTAGATTCTGAAATTTTGTTTAACAACTAGATTCTGAATTTTCAAAAACATAGATCTAGAATTCGACTAAGCACCTGGCAGAACTTGTAAAAGTCCTCAAGGTATGCTTTGTAGAGTGTATTCCTCATAATCTCTATGTTCATGTCATCGAGATCCTACAAGTAATACGATATGCATGTGATACGAAATTCATAACAGAAACTAGAAACAAACAGCACCAGACCGATTGAAAGCAAAAACTAATACATTCCATGACTTTGTACCTCTGATGTTAGGCATTCAGAAAAGTATGGAGCAAGAGGAGTATCCACAAGCACCAACCTATAGAGTTCACGCATGTTCTGTGCAACAGCTAGTGTAGCAATACTGGGAAAACAAATGAGCGAGCATGAGAAAAGCATAGGAGTGAGCAAAGAAGAAGCGGCCTGACTCAGCAGGTAAGGGATACAAAAGATGCTAAAGGTCACCTGTCAAACATGCCTAGAGGGTGACATTTCTCGAGCAACTCCTGAACATCTCTCTCATGCAGGGTTCCAGTGACAATGAGCACGACATTGTCAATCATGTGGCCATATCTGCATACAAAACCAATTTCTCTAATCATCAAATGCCAGCATCTTAAGTGTAGTAGATCATTTACTAAACTAAATCCAAGGGGGAAAAAGGCATCAAACTAAGCCAGCATTTCAAAACGATCATAATCTTTACCTTTAACATAGTGAAACAAATGTTTGCTTCTGCTTTGAGGAAACTAACAAATCTTAGACTAAGTTATGTACACTGAGACAGAGTTACAAATCTCAACACTTTACCTGATGTACTCCAAAAAGGTAGACATTGGCTCGGTAGCTTGGCAAAGCATATGCTTGTAATCATCAACAAGCTTGAGAGTACACTTCTCCACAATTGTAGTCGTATGCAGAGGTGACGGCTCTGCATTAGAAATTAACAATTCAGATACAAGAACTATCAATTTTGCAAATTCCAAACAAAAGGACATCAATGTGTCATCTAAACATCAGATTTCAGATCCTTCACATCAAAATTTCTTCATTTCGCAGATAAATTTGAGGATTCTAGAGAGTTTCAAATGGCCTAAAACCCAGAAACCCAAACGCAATGAAGCAAAATCAAATTCAAATAATCAAAAATTCGTTATGTGAGACAATGAGAGGGATGATCTCATGACGAACCGTTCTGGAGATAAGAGCCGTATTTGGTAGCAGAGAGATGCATCTTGATATCGTCTAGGTTCTCACACTGACATAGATTATTGTAATCAGCGGTTGTGAGAAGCCCAGCACGATGACCCCTAACGATCGCCTCCAAGTATCCGCCATGGATGTTGAAGGTAAGCGCCTCGAATCCGTACATCTTTCTATCCTCTGGTCGTAGAACGATTCAGATCTCAAAGATTTGTCGCGGGAGATCTGATCTGAATAAGAAATGAGAAATCGAAGCGAAGGAGAAGAGGTAGAAGAAGATAGAGAGCTTCGAATTGATTGGATTTGTTTGCAAACTCGTGTTTTTGGGCACGTTTAAAATTACGATCCTATCCTTTTAACCGGTCTGATGAAATTGTGAAATTCAATTCAATTCGAGTTACTAAACCGAATAATCGGAGTTTACCAGAAATTGAACCGCACTCGTAATACTCGTAATACGTCATACAATTATTGAAAACCAGAGTCAAATACTCAAATGCAATCAAAGTCCAAGGCAAACGAAGTTCAAAATAACTCAATTAATTAGTCTTACATAAAATACCCGAACCAAAAGTACCGAACTGATGAACCAAATTTAATGCAACAACCGAATCTAATGCAATAACCGAATGGATGTTAAATTTTAGAATTGCAATAACCGAAACGAAACTTATATCGAACCAAAAATCGATTAGATAGTCGAATTTTTTTTTTTTTGTAAACCGGATAGTCGAAATATCTAAAATACAGTTATCCAAAATATAGTTATATTTACATTTAATCGAATAGAAAGCCGAAATATCGTCAGAGATTGCTATGTTTTCTTGTCCAATTACTAAAAATTATAATTATAAAATTACATTTATTTGTAGAGGACCAAATTTGCGGTAAGAGATCTTACCGGTGAAATCTTAGATCTCGGAGGGATCTTCTTTGTCCATAGTTGCGATGGAGAGGATTGAAGGTTTAATATTTTGATAAACATGGTTTAGATTTGGTATGGATTGTGTCTTATGGGATGTTATTGTATTAAGGAAGGAATGAAATCAAATATTATTCAACGTATGGATTTGGAAAAAAGAGACTAAAATTTATTAGTATAATAATCTCTATTCAATATCTATTGACTATACGGATTTTTTTTTTTTTAGTGTATTTTACTCGTAAAACCTTAACAAAGACAATACCATCTTTGTCTTTCAAACAAATTTTACCTGATATTTACATGAACAAACACAACTTGCCTGATATTATAAATATATTTTCAAAGACCATTTCCAATTTTTTTTTTGAATATATATATATATATATATATATTGTTATTTATTTATCTATGTAAGTAATAGTTAAAACCATCTCCAATGTATTTTTTAATTTTTACCTATAAAATATAAAAAAATAATATAACGATGGTTATTACTTCAATATAACACTCTAGTTTTTCCTTTAAAAATTCATATTCCAATTATTTTATTTTTCTTATTTAGAACAAATATATTTTATTTACAAAAAGTTGCAAATTTCCCTATTAACTTTATTTTTTTAAAACTTTTATAAAAGTATGATAAAATTTATTACAAGAAAATCAAATTCCATCATATAATTTTTTTTTGTATATAGTAGTCTCAATTTTTTAGAATATATATATTTTATCAAAACCTAAAATAATTGGTCAAATAATTTCGTCAGAGACTCTGTCAGAGATAGAGAGAGTTACATTTCCGGTTTAGTAACAGCGCATTCGATTTAGCAGACCGGTTTAAAGGATATAACTGTAATTAAACGTGCCAAAGACGAGTTTGCAAACAAATCCAATCAATTTCAAAGCTATCTTCTTCTTCTTCTTCGCGTCGATCTCTGTATCGATTTTGTTTTCTTCCTCTTCTTCATCTTCAGATCTCTCGCGACGAACTTTGAGATCTGAATATCTTACGATCAGGAGAGAAAGATGTACGGATTCGAGGCGCTTACCTTCAACATCCATGGCGGATACTTGGAGGCGATCGTCAGGGGCCACCGTGCTGGGCTTCTCACCACCGCTGATTACAATAATCTATGTCAGTGTGAGAACCTAGATGATATCAAGATGCATCTCTCTGCTACCAAATACGGCTCTTATCTCCAGAACGGTTCGTCATGAGATCATCCCTCTCATTGTCTCACATAACAAATTTTTGATTATTTGAATTTGAGTTTTGCTTCATTGCGTTTGGGTTTCTGGGTTTTAGGCCATTTGAATTTCTCCATAATCCCTATATTGATCTGCGAATTGGAGGAATTTTTATGTGAAATCTGATGTTTCGATGACACATTGATGTCTTTTTGTTTGGAATTTGCAAAATTGATAGTTCTTGTATCGGAATTGTTGATTTCTAATGCAGAGCCGTCACCTCTGCATACGACTACAATTGTGGAGAAGTGTACTCTCAAGCTTGTTGATGATTACAAGCATATGCTTTGCCAAGCTACTGAGCCAATGTCTACCTTTTTGGAGTACATCAGGTAAAGTGTTGAGACGTGTAGCTCTGTCTCAGTGTACATAATTTAGTCTAAGATTTTGTTAGTTTCCTCAAGTCCTAGCATTGGTTGACTATGTTGAATGTAAAGATTATGATCATTTTGAAATGCTGGCTTAGTTTGTTGCCTTTTCCCCCCTTGGATTTAGTTTAGTAGATGATCGATTAAACATAAGATGCTCGCCTTTGATGATTTGAGATATTGGTTTTGTATGTAGATATGGCCACATGATTGACAATGTCGTGCTCATTGTTACTGGTACCCTGCACGAGAGAGATGTTCAAGAGTTACTCGAGAAATGTCACCCTTTAGGCATGTTTGACAGGTGACTTTTTGCGTCTTCTTTTGTATCACCTTACCTGCTGATTCAAACTCCTTTTCTTCCTTTTTCGCTTTTATGCTTTTCTCATGCTCTCTCATGTTTTCCAGTATTGCTACACTAGCAGTTGCTCAGAACATGCGGGAACTCTATAGGTTGGTGCTTGTTGACACTCCTCTCGCTCCATACTTCTCTGAATGCCTAACATCAGAGGTACAAAACTCATGGACTTATTATTCTAGCTTTTGTTTTCAATCAATCTTGTGCAATTTGTTTTCTAGTTTCTGTTATCACTTATCACATGCATATCATATTATTTGTAGGATCTCGATGACATGAACATAGAGATTATGAGGAATACCCTCTACAAAGCATACCTTGAGGATTTCTACAAGTTCTGTCAGGTGCTAGTCGATCGTCCTCTTATCTTCTAAATTTCAGAATTTCAGAATTCAGGTGCTAACCCCTTCTTCTTTTTCATGTATCTGAAATAGAAACTCGGTGGGGCAACATCAGAGATTATGTCTGACCTTTTGGCCTTTGAAGCCGACAGAAGAGCAGTGAATATCACCATCAATAGGTAAGTAATTACTGCCTTCTGAATGTCTGACCTTGTCAAGCAAGCTGATGTTACCACCGTTATGATTCTTTGTTTATCTACGTACTGAAATTGATTTCTTTGCAATGAAGCATTGGCACTGAGCTTACAAGAGAAGACAGGAAGAAGCTGTACTCCAACTTTGGTCTCCTGTAAGAAGCCTTCTACTGTTGAACGATATATTCCATCCAATTGTTGCATAAAATTCTCAACTATGGTTTTGATTTTTTGCTTCTGCAGCTATCCATATGGCCACGAGGAGCTTGCTATCTGCGAAGACATAGATCAGGTAAATCCAAAGGATAATATATTTACAATTATATAACATCTAATTTGGCTCAGTGAATCACATTATCTCTCACTATTAGGTTCGTGGTGTTATGGAGAAGTACCCTCCGTATCAAGCTATATTCTCCAAGATGTCTTATGGAGAGAGCCAGATGCTCGACAAAGCATTTTATGAAGAAGAAGTCAGAAGGCTTTGCTTAGCCTTTGAGCAACAGGTTTGTTTCCCTCTTCCCAAAGGAATCAAAGAACTTTCCCTAGTCCATAAAAACTCTGCTTTAGTTTTTGTTGTTTTCCATTTGAAGTCCAAAAAAGAGAGACCGTAGAGTCCAATCCCATTATGAGATATCTTATAGCTGCGTCTCAATTCAGTTCTAATACTAACAGTGGTTGCTTAAACGTGACATTTGCAGTTCCATTATGCGGTATTCTTTGCGTACATGAGATTGAGGGAGCAGGAGATCAGGAACCTGATGTGGATATCCGAATGTGTTGCACAGAACCAGAAGTCCAGGATCCACGATAGTGTGGTCTACATGTTCTGACTCTGGTAAGATGTGTAATCTGGTTGTTGCTGCTGTACAATTCTTGCGGTCTACTACATCACACACTGTTTATTGTCGTCGATCTACGTGAGAGTGCGTGTATCAAAAACTCCATAAAATAAGAATCTCTTCAATTTGTTTGTTTGTGTTTTGGCCATCACATTCTTTGCTTGATTCTTAATATTGCTACCACCAGTAAACAACTCTTTGTAATACCAAATAAGTTTTATGATGGATACGAATTACTTTGGTGGCCATAACATTTTCTTCGGCCTGAGAAGTGCTTCATGTGCTAGCTAAATAATATGTTTGTGGTTGTTGTATAAAAACGCATACCTAATGTGTTGCTGAATACAACAGAGAGATAAGAAACTAAAAAACCAGAGGATTTGCTTATATATCGATATCAATATGGATCATATCATATTGCTACATTTTTAATTTGATATATCATCAATCAATATACCAATATAATAAAAGTAAAAGAAGTTTCTCAACGAAAATTCAAGATTAAATTGGAAAATTAAGTAAAGTTGACCATTTATTTCAACCGAAGCAATGTTGAGGTTTTATTTCTAACACTTTTTGTTAAGTTCATGCCCTTTATGACATTTTTTCCAAACCAAAAATATTGAGAACGAATATATTTGAACATCAAATTTATTTCTTTCTATAGCCTAATATATTTTTAAGAAGTTAGGAAATGAAATTGATATATATTAAAAAATTTCCATTAAACAAACCGATTGCAAGGCCAAACGACCCAACATGGCCACAAGCCCATATACAAAAAAAAAAACTAAAATTATAATGTCAAATGAAATTAATATTGTTTGTACTTTGATTCTTTTCCCTAAATATAATGATCTAAGCATAATAAATTTAGATTGAGATTAAATGTCTGATAGATTACATGACTCATTTACAATTGCATAAGTTGAAAGATTCGTGGTCTGAAAAACTTGGCTACAAGATTATTGCCCAAATTAAGGGCTGCATTTCACTCATTGAATAAAACCCAATATTTTTCTCTTTTTTTTTCCTTCTACAAAATTAGAAAATCACCTAAAGTTAACTTAAAACTTATAAAATATTTGTCTAAAACTTATAAATCAAGTGTTATTCAAACATGAATTTTAAAAAGTCTCATATAATCCACTGTTATTGAACTAAAGATTTCAAAATCCAACTTAAAATTCACTGTTATCGAGAGGATTTAAGAGGATTTTCTTAGTTAAAAATACAGAAATCCAATTTGAACAAAAAAAAAATACAGAAATCCAAATCTCATGGTTTTATGAGAGATTTGAAAAGATTTTACAAAAATCATATGAACTTCCCTAAAATCATCAAAATCATTTAAAAACTCAATAAAACTCAAATCTCTTAGAGGGGTGTATTCAAAATGGAATTTTAAGAGATTTGAGTTTTATTGGGTTTTTAAATGATTTTGATGATTTTATGGAAGTTCATATGATTTTGTAAAATCCTTTCAAATCTCACCAAAAACCATGGGATTTGGATTTCTGTATTTTTAACTAAGGAAATCCTCCCAAATCCTCTAAAATCCTTCAAAATCATTAAAAGCCAAATCCACAAATTGTTTTCAATAACAGTGGATTTTAAGGTGGATTTTGAAATCATTAGTTGAATAACAGTGGATTTCATGAGACTTTTTAAAATTCATGTTTGAATAACAGTGGATTTGTAAACTTTTTACAAATCACTTGAAATTTAACTTTGAATACACCCCCCTTAAAATTCTACTTTGAATACTCCCCCCATAAATCTCACATAATCATTAATCATCTTTTATTTTATTATATAAAACCTTTGCAAGTAAAAAATCTTCAAAAAATAACTCAAATCTCTCATTCTCTCAAAATCCAAAAATACATAAAAATCACCAAATCATCTAAAATATCAAGAAAAACTTGACTTAATTAACACATGAAATGTTTTCTACTTAAACATCTTACCAAACTTGTTTAAAGTGCAAAGTATATATACCTCGTTAGTATGTGCACTCATGATAGTAGGTGTGCAAAAACAATACTAAAAATCATTACAAAAAAAGAAAGAAAAAGATATACACTATAAACACCAAAGAAAATGGAGAAATCAGCTCTGATATTCATTGCGATTATACTTTTTTCAACATGTGAGTTTACAGCAAGTTTTAATTTTCAATTATATATTAATCATCATCATTAATTAAACTCATTATATGAATTATATGATTTCTTTTTTTTACAGGTATACCAATTCTAGCAAGATCATATATGCCTTGCAAGAAAAATGCTGATTGCTTTAGACTCAAATGTCCAGCACCATATGGTGGCCCTCAGTGTATTGTCCTTGGTTGTCAATGCCCTCTTAAAAAACCACTTATTTGTCATGATCTCAATGATTGCATGGAATATTGCAAGTCAAGGGGTCAAGAAGTCGATACTTGTGTCAATACTCGTTGTTACTGTCGCATACCTTCCATATAATCACGGATACATCTTTCGAATATCGGATATTTTTATTACTATCCTTTAAATCATATATATCGATCATATCACATTGTTACAATATATAATAATATTAAGTAAGTTGGACATCTGACTTAAAACCTAAGCCTTACTTTGGCTTTCACTTTATTTTCAGTTTATTCTTCATTTGTTTCATGCTTAATTTGATATCTCATTTTGGTAAAAGAATACCTTGAGAAAAAACAGTTGCTAGCGTTTAATATAAAAGAATACCGCATAAACGAAATACCTTGAGAAAAACACTTGCTACCGTTTATGGCAAAGCGATGTGAGGTCTATAATATCTCTTGTTGATTTCGAGAAGATGGTAGATTAGGCGAGACGAGTCGAACCAAGGCGAACACGACTTCAGATTAATTACTCACCTACAATTCAAACCTGACTGGATTCGCTAGTGGAACATCTTCTGTGATTGGAATTGAAATCTACAAAGAGTGAAAAATGAGAGACAACCTCTTAATTATAAATATCATGATTTCAACATTTTTAAGAGAAATTTCCTTTGATGCTACTCTGATATCCCGTCACTGCCACGGTGTCCGCTGACTCATCGTCATTAAGTGGTTAACCAACACCGTTTCGGTATATGTTGATTATGGCTGATTTCATATAGTTTAGGTTGAGAATTTGAATTTGTTTGTGAGTTTAGATTGCTATTTACCGTGTATCGTAGTTTGGGTATAAAAACACCGCCAACTAATAGTTTGAGTTGATTTTCATTATTTTACTGTCTAATGGAAGATGTTATCCACGATCTAGCTAGATTTATACAATAGACCATACATTTTGTCTGTAGATGGACAAGATCCGCCCAACCAATTTTTGTAGACTAAATTCGAACCAATTTGGCGGAGCCGATCTGGTCCATCGTTTTTTTTTGTTTTTTCTGCGAGGACAATTTTGTCATTTGTTACACTGCGACAAATAGGCAAACTAGCATTTTGGAGAATGTTTTGGGTAAAGTGACAAAAACATAATTTTGAGTTATGAAAATGACATAATAAACAATATTCTCGTAAGAGAATTCCCCTTTTAAAAAATATATATATATATATAACTTAGCTTGTTTAAATTGTATTAATATTTACTTTACCATATATAGATTTGTGCTAAATTTGGAATAGTTGAAAATTGGTGTTATTCATAAAATTTGCCTATAAATTAATATCATTATAAAATGGGTATTTTGCATCTCATGAACCCTTATAAAATTATTAAAATATTATAATCTTCTACGTTATTAATTTTGTCAAAAAATGTTTCTTGTATTTACCAATAACTAGATTCGGACCCGCGCTACAGCGCGGGGGAAGATTACCGGGTTTTTAATCTTTTGTACGTTGCGGGATAATTTATTTGTGTTTGCTTTACTTTATTTGATTATTAATTAAATTCTATCATTTTTAGATTGTATTTTTTGTGTTGGTTTCGAATATGTTCAAAATTATTTAAATTGTATGATTTTAGTTGGATTGTTAATTTTAGAACAATATGTGACATATATACATGTATAAATATTATACTATGAATCATTTTTAAAGTTTAGGGATTGACCCGCAGTACATCGCATAATCATAAATACATGATTTTAACTTGGACCTTTCATGCAGTTTTGTAAAATTGCAAATCTCTAGAATAAACAAATAAAGAGCCAATGATTTCTTATTTCTTATCGTGTTAAAATATAAAATCTGTGTTTATGTTACAATTTTCTGGTAGCAGAAACTTATTTATATAGATAATATTTTCTTAAAGTTAGGTTAGCGTTAAAAAAAAGATTAGCTTTATAATCAAGCCAGAAATTCGAAATTATTGCCAAATAAATATATTAAAGATGGTTGAAAATGAATTATCCCGTAATTGGTGTGAAGATCATAGTTAATATAGGAGAAAACTATACATCTAAATATTAATATAAAATATTTAAGGAACATTTTGTTTATAAATATTATGGATAATTTGATAAATATTTTATATTTAATTTATATTTCTGATTTTTAGGTTAATTTGTTAAACCAATATACAGAATCATACATTAATGTATTTTTCCTTAAACAAATTAAGATTAATGTACTTTCCAAAACCATACCGATATTGATGGTTTTTTTTTTTTTTTTTGGTGTACAACCGATATTGATGGTTTAATTTGGTAGATTTCGAAATAATATATATGGAAACTGGTATTTAATATCTTTAAATTTTTAGTAAGATCCAATTGAAAAATTTCGGGTTAATTTTTTTAAAAAACCCGAATCAAGAAACTTTTGTACTTCTCTTTTACTATAGTAGGGATAATCAGATTTAATTTGGTTTAATGTCGCCACTATACCGAACTCTACCCACACAATTTGGTTTCGTCGTCTTCCTTTGAGCTACCACTTTCGCATGACGCACCACCGCATCACCACCACCATCAATGGCGGATCCGCCTTCATCTTCCTCCTCCTCCTCCTCACCACCACCACCCCCACCACTTCATCTTCTCCTCCAATCCCAGGACTAGACACTTTCTTAACAAACCAATTCCGTCTCGACCCAAAAGCATCAAACGACTCATTCGGATCTCTCTCCTCTTCTCTCAAACGCTCCCTCTCTTCATCTTCATCTTCACTCCACTTCTCATCTCTCTCCAAATCACTCCTCTCTCTCTCAATCTCAGTCCCTCTCAACGTCCGTTTCATCGGCGACTCCTTCCCTTCCTCCGCCGCTTCAATTTTCTCCGAATTCATCTCCGCCGCCGTCACTGACGACAATTTCCATGTCATCTCTCCTCTTCCCGATTCATCAACCGATCACAAACTCGCTGTATCTCATTCCCTCCACCTCGACGCTTCCTTATCTTCCCAATCCCTCTCGTCGCGGCTCGATTCGACTTTGAAATCCCTAATTTCAACAACGACCTCGTCGCTCCGATCTAATCTCCTCTCGATCCCGTACAACCAAATCGATGAGATTATAAAGCAAGAGTATGAGAAAGAGAAGCATGGAGATGGAGGAGTTTACATTTACTTGATCTCTTTAGGCTCTCAGGTTAAACCTTATGCTTATAGCTACTCTCATGGTGATTCATCAGCTGGGTTTACTAAATGTTTAGGTAGTGTTTGGACTGGTAAAGAACGTTATCTATGGATTGATCTCTCTGCTGGTCCTGTTGATTATGGTCCTGCGTTATCTGGTGATGGTGTTATACCAAGAGGTGAGTTTCATCCTCTTGCTGCTCTTCATGGTCGTCCTAAATCAGAGAAAGCTTTGCTTGTGGATTTAGCTTCACTGGTGTATAATGCTTATCAGGTATTGATTGTTCCTTCTTTGAGAATCCCTGTGTACTTTGAGGATACGTTGGTAGTTCAGTTTATTCATATATATGGGTCTGAGGTTAAGGATATGGTTGGGTTAGATTTGGAGTCTGTGAAGAGAACGTTTATGGATGAAGCTGAGAGTGGTGGGTTGTTGTTAGGAGAGCAGAAGTTGAGTTTCAAGAGTTATAGTGTGAGTTATAGAGAGTGTCCGATTTGTTCTTTTGCGGTATCTCGTGGGATGAATTCGTATACTTCTAGGTTTCTGTTTGATAACTATACTTTGATTGTGAGTGAGTATTTGGATTCTAAGCATATGCATCGGGCGTTGACTGATTCAGCTGAGGAGTTGAGGAGAGTTGCGGGGATTGTTGAAGACGAAGGAGATGGGTTTGCTAGGGTTTTGCCTGTTTATGTGTTTGATTTAGATATCAATACGCCTTTGTTGCTTGATCGGTATCACCAGTCTGTTGCGTTTAGAGACATGGTTATTGCTGTTAGAACTAGAGGAACTCAAACCGTGAGTGATTATACCTGCAATGGTCATCATGTGTTTGTTCATACAAGAGACTTAGAACGGCCTCTGGTCGGTTCCATACTTCAGAGCATGTGGGGTGTATCTTCTACTCATTTGACTTGGAGTCCGAGACATAACACGACTCTAGTTGATTACACATGGAGCATTGGGCAAACACCGTTTGGACCTTTCTCTGATTTATCGTCTCTATCGTTTGTTCAGAAAGACGCTGCTAAAAGAAACGTGCTTTTGACATCGTTAAACACAACTATCACAAGCGCAATTGACGTGATTGATTCCGCTGTCGCTTATGGAGGAGATGCGAACCTTCGGAAACAGAACCGCCACTCTGAGTTTATGCAAAGGTGGAATCTAATGAAGTACAAACTTGATAAAACGGTTTCTGCTCTATCGCACAACGACTTCGAGATGGCTTTGTTTTACCTGAGATCAGCTTCGCACGACTTGTACTCAGTGCATTCAGTGGTCTACCTCGCGTCACAAAAGGTGGAAGCGAGTCTCAACTGTTTTCAAGATCCACCGTTCCCATGGGGTACTGTTTCGGTGTCGGGATTCGGGTTAATGGCTTTGGGTTACGTTTACTCGAAAAGAGATAGACTCTTGAGGAACAAAAGAAAACAGTTCTGAAGAATTCAGGCAAACGCAGAGTTAATTTATCAGCCATTGCATTGGATTAAAAGACTTAATAGTTTGGTTTTTGAGGTTAATACAACATGTACTACTATTATGAAGCTTGTTTCCCCTTTGGTAATGTTGAACATTAGAGAAAATGTTCCGATCCTTTTTTAGGTTGTCTATTTATATTCTAACAAATGAATCTTAAGGGGTGAAAATAAGAACCAAAATAAAATTAATCAAAATTTATTAATAAAGTAATATAAAATATTATTATGGTACCAAAATCCCGTATTAATTAATAAATATAATTTAGTTAATTTGTTTAAATTCAGAATTAGAACACATAACAATTAACAACAACTCAAGTCTCACTCTGACCAAATTTTATAAGGGTTTAAAATCGGTTTGGGTTTGGATTTTAAATCGGTTTTATAACGGTTTCATCGTTTCGTTTTTTGGTTTAAAAAATTCGGAAACTCAAATTTTAATTACTGTTAATCCAAAAATTACAAAACTTTTTAATCGATTTTCTAATACAAACTTTCAGATTTTTTTTTCAAAATTCGTAAATCCAAAACGAAAAAATTCAATATAACCAAAAAAAAAAAAAACAAATCAAGAATAGACTTTCATTTTTCTTACCAAAATTAATTTACCGTTTTTTCTAATTAACCCCTTGATTTAATTTTCAAATTCGAAAATTTATATATATTTTTAACAAAACGCAGTCCAACACCACCGCCACAGAGTCCTTTATATACTTGTGTTTTTTTTTCCTTCATACATCAAATCATTCTGTAAAAAAAAAAACACACACTCTCTTCTCTCTCTCTCGCTCTCGCTCGTCTCCTCTTCATCGGAGACCATGACGGACGGCCACTCCTTCAATAACATCTCTCTCAGCGGCCGCGGCGGAACGGTACCTTCTTCTCTCTCTCTATCTCAATCTCTCTTACGACGCCGCTTCGTTAAAAGATCTTTCACTTCCGATAAAGCTTCCGCCTTTTTTCCCCTCTTCCTCTCAAAAACCCTAATTTCTTATCTCTGTAGCCTCTTTGCTTCATAAGGAAACCAATTACGTGATTTGTTCTGGAAAAAAAATTCAATTTTGATTTTCTTCTTTACAAAATTGTTTTTGAAATCCCTAGTTTTTATTAAGAATGTGCATTGTTGCTGCGGCTGTTGTATTAGGGTTTGTTTATCTAGAATGCGATGTGCTAATTTAGTTTTTTCAATTTTTGGGGATTTTTGTTTTTGTTTAGAACCCTGGACTTCTTAAGATAAACTCTGGAGGTATTCAATGGAAGAAGCAAGGTGGTGGGAAAGCTGTGGAAGTTGATAAATCTGATGTTGTTGGTGTTAGTTGGATGAAAGTTCCAAAGAATAATAATCAATTGGGAGTCAAAACCAAAGATGGGTTAGACTATAAGTTCATTGGGTTTCGAGATCAGGTTTTGATCTTCTTGCCTCTGTTTCTGAGTTATTCGATTTGTATATGTGGTTATTCTCATGCTTTTGGTTGTTAATAGGATGTTGCAAGTCTGACCAGCTTTTTCCAGAGTAGTTATGGTAAAACACCACAAGAGAAACAGTTGTCTATTAGTGGTCGAAATTGGGGAGAGGTTGATTTGAATGGTTAGTTCTTTGATTTTCTTATGGTTTGTTTTAAGTTAACTTAAGCTTTGGTAGTCTATAGGTTGTTCTAAAGTGTGAACTTTTCTTGCTGTTGTCTTTGTGCAGGGAATACATTAACCTTTTCGGTTGGTTCGAAGCAAGCTTTTGAAGTATCCTTAGCTGATGTTTCGCAGACTCAGCTTCAAGGAAAAAATGATGTCATATTGGAGTTCCATGTTGATGATACCGCTGGTGCTAATGAGGTACTCATTTCTAACTGCAACCTGGTTTCTCTAGAAGCGTAATCTCTTGGCTGATATGTATGTAAGGGTACATATACGGTTGCTTATGTCCTGATTATATCTTATGTGCATTTGCAGAAAGACTCGTTGATGGAGATAGGTTTTCATATTCCTAACTCCAACACCCAGTTTGTTGGTGATGAAAACCGTCCGCCTGCTCAAGTAAGTTGCCGAACCTTTTCAATTACACAGCATTCTTGTCACATATTTTCATGTGGTTGAGAAGAGCTTTTTTCTCAGGTTTTTAATGACGAAATCAAGTTAATGGCTGATGTTGTTGCTGGAGCTGAGGAGGCAGTTGTCACATTCGAGAGTATTGCAATCCTCACACCCAGGTAAAGATTATGAGTTGATCACTTTTCTTGAGTTTTAAAGTATTAGTTGATCACGTTATTACTTGTTGCTCTATTGTATGGCTGTATCTTCTCATGACTTTATGATTCGTTTTTCTGATACAGGGGTCGGTACAGTGTGGAACTTCACCTTTCTTTCTTACGTCTGCTAGGACAAGCTAATGACTTTAAAATCCAATACAGTAGTGTTGTCCGATTGTTCTTGCTTCCTAAGGTAATTCTTTTTAAGCAATCTCAGGTCACTTATGTGATTAGTCATCAAATTAGAGGGATTGTCATATTCTGATCACCGAATCTTATACTAATGAATCGTATTATCTGTTTAATGAACAGTCAAATCAACCACACACCTTTGTTGTTATCTCTCTAGACCCACCAATCCGGAAAGGTCAGACAATGTACCCCCACATTGTGATGCAGGTAAACATTACTTAGATTTGCCTTCCATTTCAATTTACTTCTTCCATCTCTTTTACAGAGCAATTTTTACAAATTTTTCTGTCACCTTTTCTAGTTTGAGACTGACACCGTCGTCGAAAGTGAACTGTCAATTAGTGATGATCTTATGAATACAAAGTTCAAGGACAAGCTGGAGCGATCATATAAGGTTTTTTTTCTTGTCTGCACTTATGTTATTATTTCTTATTTTAAATTCCTACATACTCTGATAGCTAAGGAATCACCTATGAATTTTCAGGGTCTCATTCATGAAGTATTCACCACCGTGTTGCGTTGGTTGTCTGGTGCAAAGATCACTAAACCAGGGAAGTTCCGCAGTGCCCAAGATGGGTTTGCAGTGAAATCATCTCTGAAGGCAGAAGATGGTGTTCTTTATCCACTTGAGAAGGGCTTTTTCTTTTTACCTAAACCTCCAACGCTTATACTTCATGATGAGGTATTTTGTGGTTATTAAGAATTGGAAATTTTTGGTAGGCTCTAAGATAGAGTTTGGTTGTTTAACTGTTTGTTTCTTATTTTAGATTGACTATGTAGAGTTTGAAAGGCATGCTGCTGGTGGTGCTAACATGCATTACTTCGATCTTCTCATAAAACTGAAAACTGATCATGAACATCTGTTCCGAAACATTCAAAGGAATGAGTATCACAATCTCTATTCCTTCATAAGGTTAGCACAGATTATTTCAGTATCACCGTCTGAAGTTACTGAGAGTGCATTTAATTTTTTTATGGTGGTTAAACGTTATCTTTTCTTGCTGCAGCTCCAAAGGTTTGAAGATTATGAACCTTGGAGGTGCGGGAAGTGCAGACGGTGTTGCTGCTGTTCTTGGGGATAATGATGATGATGATGCTGTTGACCCTCATCTTGAGCGTATCAGGAACCAAGCTGCTGATGAGAGTGATGAGGAGGCAAGTACTTTAAGTCCGACAGAATTACTTGATGTTTTATAACCATGTTTTTGACAATCGATGCTTTTAACTTATGAAGGACGAAGACTTTGTTATGGGTGAGGATGATGACGGTGGTTCACCAACTGATGATTCTGGCGAGGACGACTCTGATGCTAGTGAAGGCGGTGGAGGAGAGAAAGAGGTAAACTATTGTCACATACTTCATTTGAACTCTCTTCGGATCAGATTCTGTTTCACATATCTTACTGTCATTGACTTATTTCAGAAATCTATCAAGAAGGAACCCAAGAGAGAAGCTCCATCATCTTCTAAAGGATTGCCTCCTAAGAAGAAAGTGTTAGCCACAGAAGAAGGCAGTAGTAAGAAGAAGAAGCAAAAAAAGAAGAAAGATCCCAACGCACCAAAAAGAGCAATGTCTGGTTTCATGTTCTTCTCTCAAATGGAAAGAGACGTGAGTGCTTCTCATCTTTAGCTCTATGATCTACACTAAGTTGCAGAATGGAGTATCCTCAGTCTTCTTGCATACACGAGAGCTACAATTTACAGATTCTATTAAATTGACCCCCAAACGTAGCATTGCTGATTATATCATTTTCAATTTGTGAATTGAACAGAACATAAAGAAGGAACACCCAGGAATAGCATTTGGAGAGGTAGGGAAGGTTCTTGGAGATAAGTGGCGTCAAATGTCAGGTAAAAACCTCAAAACTTCGTCAAAGAAAATACACTTCTTGGTTATATCTTAGCATGTGAATGTGATCAAATCCATATGTATGTTTGATGTAACTATAGCCGAGGAAAAAGAGCCGTATGAAGCCAAAGCGCAAGTCGACAAGCAGCGATACAAGGATGAGATAAGTGATTACAAGAACCCTCCACCGATGAACGTGGACTCAGGAAACGAGTCTGACAGTCACTAAACTTGGATACCCCAAGATTCTCTAGTAGTTAGTATCTTAGATTTTATGCGGCATCTCCTCAAATGTAGCGAATTACGACAAGGATACTTCGGGGTACTTATCATTAGCTGCTTTGAGTTAACTAGAATACTTCTGATTACAATGATCGTTTGTTCCTTCGCACACAAGACCTTTATCTAGGGTGATTGGATCTTGACGAATCAAATATCCGCTAATGACAAAATCAAGAAGATCGCAAACTAGGAAGCAACAAAGTTTACATGAAAACACAACGAGGTTCTGTATGTTGAAACTTATGGATAAGAATCATCTAAAATCTTATGGACAATGGGACGGGCTCTACACATAGCTTGCAAGGGCTTAGCTCTACGCATTGTAGTTCCCTTTTCACTTTCTCTCATGTCTACATATTCTTTTCCAACTCTCTCCCATTCAAAACATTGGATCAACGATCCAAGAGCCAAGGTCACGAGCCGTTGAGCTAGCCCTGATCCAGGACAAGATCGTCGTCCGATCCCAAACGCCATCAACTTTTTCTCCTCCCCTTGTTTCTCAAACCTCTCCGGCTTAAACTTTTCCGGCTCTTCCCACAACTTAGGATCTCGATGAATGGCCCATGCATTCACCAATATGATTGTACCACGAGGGACATCATAGCCCGCAAGCGCGCAATCTTCTGATGCTAAGTGGGGAAGAAGCATTGGAGCCACCGGGTATAGTCGTAAAGTCTCTGACACAATGTTCTGAAGATAAGGAAGTTTCACAATGTCTTGTTCCTCTATTAACCTGTCCAAACCGATTTGTTCGTCGATTTCGGCTTTTGCCTTTTGTAAAACTTCTGGATGGTTCAACAAATTCGATATCGCCCATTCTAACGTTCCAGCTGATGTATCAGTCCCGGCAAGTATCATAACCTAATCCAAAATTAAAATCAGTTCAACAAAACCTTAAACAAATGTTACTATCTTGACCTGTCTTTTACTTACAAGTATAATTCCTTTGATGATCACATCAGTATAATACGCAGGCTGAGTTTCTTGTAAAGAAAGCAAATGATCGATCATCGTGTTACCCTTTACTTTCTCCACACGTTTCTCATCCACAAGACTTTGCAAAAAATCATCAACCCGACCCGCTAACTTCTTAACCCGTTTCTCATAGTTTGTTAACCAACGAAGTACCGGAAAATAGTCAGCTGCGTTCCCTGCTCCGCCACTAACCACCACCTCCGCGATCAACTGTCTCACGTGCTTCGCCTCGTCGTCGTTCTCTGTTCCGTCGCCGTAGTATCTCTTTCCGGCCACCATCCTAATGATGTTGTTGATAGTTAAACTCATAAACAATGGTCTCATCTCCACTTTCACAAACTCCTGAAAATTACAATTATTATACCAAATGGTTAAATTTAAAAAGTTCTTAATAACAAAAACATTTGTTACAAAATATTTTATGAAATAATACTATACTATCTAGACTATAGTTTTACTTTATTAAACCTTTAAAACATGTTGAGAATTAAATTTTTTTATACTACAGTATCTAACAATGAGACTGTGATTAAATATGTTATATTTGGCAGATACGTTTCCAAAAATGGAGTAAGAATCGAGACTAAGTATTAATAAATCGTACGTACTTGTTTAGAGTTTTTGGATAGAGATAATATGAGCCGTCGGATCTCATCTTTACGGATAGATATGAAGCTATTAAGCCTAAGAGACGAGAAGATCTCAATGGTACCAATACGTCTTAGATTCCTCCAGCTATCACCATAAGCCGCACCAACCATAGTGGTTGAGTTGTATCCGATATGTTTCTGGACGATAAACTCAGGCCTGTTAGCTAAAACAACGTCGTTCTTGGTGAAACATTCCTCGGCTACGGCATGAGAAGACACAACGTAAACTAGACGTGTCCCGAGGCGTAGAGAGAAGATCTTGGCGTTGTTTAAAGATTCAGACAGAGATAAGAACCTACGGTGAAGTGGTAGCTTTAAGAGGTGGAGATGTCCGATGATAGGGTACGGTCGTGTTGGACTCGGCGGTAGGTTTAGTTTACGTCCGAACAAGAACTTGAGAGAGAGGAAGAAGAAGAAGAAGATAGAGATGATTAGGTATATAGTTTCCATTATCTTGAGTTGTTGTTATAATGTAATATGGAACATGTGAGTTATAAAAGCTTTGGTTATATAGTGTGACACTTGGTTCGTGTAACACGTACATAGGATAATAATAATTATGGTTTTGAACGAAGAAGATAAACGTTTAAGTGATGTCGTCACTGCATACTCTTAACATGAAACTGTGAATAAAGCTTTCATGAGATAACATAAACATGTGGACACGTGCGTGCAGTTGAAGCCATCGGTGATGTAGCTTAACGTAAGTGCGTATGTCATTGAGATCTATCATGTTTGGTTTCTATCAAGGTCCTACATGGACCCATGAAGCTAATGGTGTTCTAATGTTAGAGATGTGATGGTGTTGGTTTCTATGTGTGGATTTGTCTTTATATGAATTGTGAGATTTCTGTATATATACACCGTTTCCAATTAGTGATAAAAAGAGTCAAAAAACATAATTAACTGTAAATAATAATATAGGGAAAATTCCTTTAAAATTTCCCTCGAAGTTTAATATCCAATGTTATTTGATTGGAAATAAAATACATGATTTATTAAATTTTTGTCTATTAATACATTAAGTATATAAAAATTTTCGAATCGAATAAACCGTTTAATCGGATTGACGGAATCACTAAACCGATGTTGACGAAATCACTAATCCCTAGACACACAGATAATTTGCGGTTATCCAAAGACTGCATTGTCTTTTGCTATTACCCCAAATCGAATTGGGATCGATTAACCCTAAGTTTAGTGTAATTCCATTAACCCCGATTTAGTGATTCCGTCAGTCCGATTATCGTTTGTTAAGCGGTTTTTCCGCTTCAAATTTTTTTATATACTTGATGTATTAATAAACCATGCATTTTGTTTGCAATCAAATAACATTGGGTATTAAACTTCCAAATTAAAATTAGATGGAGAATTTTTATGGAATTTTCCCAATAATAATATCAAAATAGTTACAAAGGTTTCAAAAGTAATTTTATAAAATGGATACAGTACATAAAATTCATAATATCAGCTTTTTATTACTCTTTTGATACATTGGAGCTTCAATTACTGATCCAAAACAATAAAACTTTTATCGATAATAAATAACGGTTAAAAAATATGAAAAGACTTAGAAAAGATAAAACTGAGAAATATCACTTTTACTACAACTATTTATTCTTTGTTTCAAAATTTAAGATGTTTTAAGTTTTCTTTTTTTGTCAACGAGTTTAACTAAAAGACTCAAATGAGTCAAGAACGAGGAAAATTGTATATATATAAAGGCATGTCTGATTTAGTTATATCATCGATCCTGTACAAAACTATAGAAAAACCTAAATTTGTAGTGATCAAATAGATTTATTTTGTAAAAAGGCACTAAAATATGTAAAAATAAGTCCTAAATAGCCAAATAAAAATTGCAAAAAAGAAAGTTCTGGGTGCAAATGCTTAGTTGCGGATCTGAACACACTTAAGAAAGTTCTTATTTTTCAAACGTTCAATCAATCATGCAAAAGACTAAATAATAGAAATAGTTTTATATATCAAATTAATCTATAAATTACATAGAAACTCGAAAGATATCATGTAGAAACTAGAGAGAAGGATTTGGGGGAAAACTCTATATTATTGTGTGTTCTTGATCTCTAGAGAATTGATACAATATATATAGGCTAACTTATGTTTAACCTAATTAGAATAGGAAATAGATAAACATGATTAAGTAAATATTTTAAATTTCTTAATCCTTATCACACTTCTAGAATATTTTTCGACTTGGGCTTCACGGGTTCAATTCAATAACGGACTTTGACGGTACATAATGCTTGGTCCGCATGATACACATCTTGCTTCCCAAGATATCTCCAATACTCCCCCGCATACACGACAACATGGTACACACAACACAAACTTTGCAATCATAAAACGTAACACGTATGTCATGGACAACTTGTCAAGGGTAGAAAAATCATGTCAACAACTCTTTAGGATAAAAACTTCAATCTTCAAAAGAGGGGTGGAACTTCAGCTCGTCTTTGGTCTTGGTAAAAGGGAATAACAACATCCCATGGGTTCAATTTCTGCAACTCCACAAATAATTGTCCTAATCTCTGATAGTCCATAAATCGGAGTAATAATAATAACCGAAAACATGAGCGTTCCAATAAACTCCTCTAGTGATTAAACGATAACCAAACTCCCTCGTAATGGTAAAACTATTACCATACTTTCCCACAATAAGAAAAGTAACAATCTAAACAAAAACATGTGAAAAATTCTTAACTAAAAAATAGTTCCAGAACAATAAACCTAGAAATCTCGGGAAAAACTTTAAAGAGAACTTCCCGACTAGTTATTGTACCCTAACACCATTAGTGCACAAAAAATAATCCGATGTACAATAGAAAAATTGAAACGTGACTATTAAAAATCAAACCCCATTAACTTTAGAAAAACCAAATCACATGATCACACCCAAACTTTACTTTTGCTTCACGTCATCTTCATTGTCTGGTTCGTCTTCATCCCCATCATCTTCTCCAATGAGAATCACCATGATCTCTTTTGGATTTGAGGCCACAAAAGAAATTTCTAGTGCGGATGCTTTAGTTTTGATCCACTAGGATCGACTGCTCTGATACCATATAAAATTAGGGTTTGTTATAGGTTTCCAACTCAAAAATAATTGGCAATAAGTGGATTAACCCTAACACTTTATATATTACTTAAGTCCCATCACATCTTCCAATGTGGGATCTTTCTCCACATATCCTATAATGTAAAACAATTTTTTTCTAAAGTATATTATGTTATGAAATGGAAAGAGTACTGTTTTGTAATTGGTGATAATTAATAAACGGTAAGAGGTAACCTCTAAACGCCACAATCTATTTTTATTTGATATTTTTTCCTAAAAAAGAATACCATTAGTTTATAATTCAGAAATACTCTTCAATAGCATCAAAATAGGTTTTAAGGACCATTATAGCACACATTGCACAAATTTCCAAAAATAAAAACAATAATTAACACAATTATAATATTTTAAGAGATTTTAGCAAAACTAACCTACAAAAAAACTATATTTCACTCACTAACTACTCTAATCACTAAAAGGTGATATACTAAGTATAAACTATAATATATACTATTAACCTTATCATCACCACCCTATACTTATTTAACACCACCACTCCCCACCTCTTTACCACCACCACCACCTCCTCCAGCAGCGCCATCATCTCCGGCCACCGCCAGCCACCATCACCACCACCACCGGCTGCCGACCACCAGCCACCACCACCACCAGTCGCCGGTCACCGCCACCTCCGGCCACCGGCCACTACCCACCATTATCACTCTCATAACACCAAAATAGTAATTTTATCAACCCCTTATCCTATTTTTCTAATTATTTTAAATATTGTGCTATATTCTTTATTTTGAAATCCAAAATGAATATTCACCTAATTCACCCATATTTTAATATTTATTTTGGAACTTTTTAAGGTTTGGATTGACTATTTTACATTTAGGATATAGTTTTTAAGGGTAGGGTTTATGATTTAATTTTGAAAGTTTAGTTTTGATTAATAGTGCTAATTTTAGAAAATAGGAAAGTGTGTGCTAAGAGCATGGGCATCAGTAGGACTAGAAAAATGTTTTTTTTAAAACTTTTTTTTTTTTTGAAAAAAGAAACCAAGTAACCAATCGCGGACCGCCACGTGTCAGTGGGGCCCGCGAATAGTGTCCCGTTTGGAGGTACGTCCTTATTTTCTTTCTTTTTTTTTGATTTTTTTTTTCTTTTTGGCTGGGAGACCGATCATGAACCCTTCGATGCCCATGCTCTAAGTTGGGAAGAAAAAACTTAAATTAGTGCTAATTTTGAGAATTGACTAAGTTTTATTTTACATTTTAACATGTAAACATTGATTATTTTTTAATCTATATATAGTGCAAGATGCCAGTTTATATATTTTTATGTGCTTTTTATTTTTCTTTGTGTAATATTTTGAAGTGATTTTGTACTTCATTCACATAATTATTATCAGTACTAACTCAAGTATATTCTAATTTTACTTATGTTGAACACCACTAGCTAGAGTCCTACTGTCTTTTCATTTTTGTTTTTTTTTGTTTTGTTCTAATAAAGTATTAACGATAGTGTAATAAAAAAAAACATGTGATATTACATTAATGATTTACAACTTACAAAAAATTGTTTCTTATTTTAATGATTACAAAAATATAAAGGTTAATATCGAATGGCGTCTTCCTTCATAACAATATTCAAAAAAAGAATTAACTCATGGCTCCTTCATCTGTTGTTTAAACTTATGCCTTTTGCTCAATCTAAATGTTTCTTGTGAGGGTTTCTCAATGACCTGAACACTCTTCCTCCTCCAATCTTCACCTTACCCGCGGCGTCGAACCCGAAGGATCCTCCAATTTTACCAGCCTTGCCTTTACCAGCTCCAATGGATTTGCCTCCAGCATGACCACTAGATCCAAACCCAATTTCACGTCCAACTTTGCTGTCACGGCCTACTCCAATGAGTTCATAGGATTTATCAGCATCTACACTCTTTTGAGCGAAAGTTCCGAGGAAACCGCCACGGGGAGTAAAGGGGAAATCGATGTTCTTGCCAACAGAGAACTTCTTGGTGCATTTAGTGATCACTTTCACATATACTCTAATGGAACCCTTCAACTTAAACACAGCTTTTTCGATCTCAACCTTCTCAGTTTTGCTTATCTTAGCATTAGCATTAAACTTATACTCCATCGAGATAGCAGCGATCCTACCAACAAGGCGTACATACCTTTCAGCCATCACAGCATAACTATGGCTCAACTTAGCACTAAGTAGTCCAACACCAACTTGTCTTTGTGCCGCAACCAACTCCTTGGTGAACATACTTAATTTGGCGTAACTCGCGTTAACCACCTCTTCTTTCGAGCCAGTATACTTGACGCTTCCAAGATACTCGGTGAACCCCTTGCAGGTGGCAAACAACTTCTTGAATTGGATCTTGTTTGGTGCGGATTGAGCCTGCTTCTCGACGAACTTTGAGATTTCATTGTAAGGGTAAGATTGGAGTTTGGACAATGTAAATATAGACAATGTCTTTTGTGTTTTCTTGTGGGTTGGTGGGTGAGCCAAGACAGACCCAATGGCTAGAACTAAGGCTAAGGAAAACAACAGAGAGATCCTTGCCATAGTTGTATCAATGGCAAGGTTACAAAAAAACAAAAAACTAGAAAACAAAATGAAGGAAGTGCAACTTTGAATTGAGGGCTTTGTAAAGTATATATACATTTTCACACAACCTAATAATAGTTTACACAAAAGGTTACAAGAACAGACCAACAATACAGAGAGATTCATGGCTGTTCACTTGATTTTTTTTTTATAAATAGATTCTAAATGTTTATTGGTTTCTCAGTTATAGAAAATGAAAATGTAAATAGTATCCTAATGGTTCGTAATATTATATATCACTACCAAAAATAATCAAACCTATACATAAGGAAGAAATTTATTTGGATATGTCTCAATGTTACCAGAAAGTGTTTGATCAATTCTCGACAATGAATTCTTGAATCTCTATACCGGTATGGCGTGCACCGCCCTGTAATCTGATCAAGACCTGATCCCCGAGTTTCAGCGAGGTCACGGGGACAGCGGTTTTTTTAGATGAGTTTACTGATAGAAGCAAATAGATTCATCATAAACCATTAAATGTAAACTAGTAGCTAACTGGAGTAATGATGATACTCAAGAGTCAAGACAAAGAACCTTGGTGAGGAGTGACTAATGCAACTGTTTCCGCATTCTGTAAGATGATGTTAAAAACCGTTTCATCCTCCTTTGTGCTAAGCTGTAAGAAAGGAAGCGGTTAGTCTTAACTCATTAACAATTTATTAAAGAGTAGTAAAGAATGTGATTTATGATTTATGAACCTTAGCCTCAACAAGAATAAGTGGACGCTTCTCGATCTTTACTCGCCCAACGACTGCTGTTCGTTGTTTCCCTTTCTGATCAACAACAATCACTTCTCTTCCTGATCTTAACTCCGAGAGATAACAAGTCTTTCCACCTGGAACAGATACATAAGCATGCACTGGTCCCTGTATATTGAGATCTTTAGTGAATGATATCTGTAAGTAGAAGTGATTTAAAAACTGAAACTTAACAAACGCACAGCGTTAACTCGAAATGGTCTGCTTTCAATGTAATTAGACTCCAAGCATTCTGAGTGAACCAAGAAGAGTCCTCTAGCAAAAGAACCAACCTTGTAAAAACAAAACACATTCAAATCTCAGTTCTTGTAAGACTAGTAAAAAAATTGATAATCCATGTTGAAAGAAAGAGTATATTATACAGGTAAACATACAAGAAGACCTTCACCGGGTCTCATGAGGCTACAAAGATCAACACAGACTCGGTCTCCCATACCAACCATTTCAACCCGAGTAATAGTAGCTTCCTTCAAACTTAATGTATCACTTTCTTCATTTCTCTTGTCAAAATATTCCTAAAAGTTTTCAAAGTAGCAACTATAAGAAACCATGTTTATAGCAACTATGCTTATGATCTTGATACCAACCTTTAGATCAAGAACAGCTTTAACATCTTCGGATTTAAGAATGATCCCGCCAAGGCCATGCTCTAAAGCCTAGAGCCAAACATAACACAAGAGTAAAGTTCTTTAGAAAGCAAGTGAAAACATAAAGTTCAACATCAGAAACTAAAACCAACCTCAAGGAATAGTTTTGCCTCCGAGGAAGTATTTGAAATGGCAAACACAGTTTTCTCACTTCCTTGAAGAGCCGCAACTAAATTTTCCGCGGGAATCGACTGCGAAATATTACTTCTAATGTTACTAAACAGGTCATTCGTTTGAGTACAAAGCCAAGAAAGTTATATACCTTCCAATCTAAGAAATCAAGAACAATATTTTCACTCTGTTCATCTTCAATCTCAAGCTTCTTTAGCTCCTCAGGTGTTGACACCTCAAACACCGAGGCTACAACGTTCCCCGCAGTACCATCAGTAACTCGCTTCTCTTCGATAAACAATGTATCCATCAATGCAATCGCTGCAAGCATACAGCAAAACTCAGAACATAACTCAAAAACCAAATACGTATATAGTACTGCATTGTTTACTTACATGACCACTCATCAGATAGTTTTCGATTGTCTGATGAGAATACAAATGTGTTCCATCCTCGTTCCACCGCAGCTGTCATCACTTCTTTACACTCAGTCCATATCCAAACCTTCTTTGCTTGGCCAAGACTCATAGATACAGTGGAAGCAGACATTTTCACAGCAAATCTCTGATTACTAAGTCTAATCAATCTATGATTCTTCTGATGAGAGCTCCATAGTACTAATCTACCAAGTTTTAATTTTTCTGCATCATCACCATAGCTCAAGTAAGAACAAAACACAATGAAGAAACTTGAAAGGTATACACTCTTAAAGTACTCATCTTTATGCAATTTCTACAAAACCCAGATGAAATTAAACCTCTGATTACTAAAATTCAAATCAAGAAACAGCAAACACATGAACTCCAATGTCATTGTGAATTTGGGCAAATTAGTTTTACTTCCATGGTGAGAAATATCAAAAGAGATAAAAGACTAACCTTTTCTTAGAGAGAAACAATGAAATTGGTTTGTAGATTGTAAATAAGAAACAGAGGAGACCAAAGACAAAGCCATAATATAAGGTTTGGTCTGTTCCGATCTGTTTAACTTGAAGCTTCCTTTGCTTCTTCTCTTTCAGAATTTTGTGAGTTGTGTTGGCCCAAACACTGGTCGGGTCTATCGGTTTACTTAAAATTGACTTAACCGGATACGGTTTGGTTCAATTTAAAAGCTATTACCGAGTTAATTTGGACAAAATATTGCAATTACGACAATAATAATGTCACTGACTAGTGTTTTTTTTTTAAATCTATTTTATATTTTTTTCTTTAATTAAGAATTTAAGATCAAGTGATTTATTTTTTGTTTCGTTGTAGTATGATATTTTTATATGAATTTCTATTTAATCAAAGATATATTTATACTACGAATCTGAAATTTTAAATTCTAAACTCCCGAAGTGGAATCGAATAACGGCTGAGCTTTTTTGTATATTGTGGTGCATTAAAGCTCTAAAGGATCTTCAAATTCAAAATTGTGAGATTTGGTCGGATTGTGCAGGAGCTCTTAATGCATTAGCAGCTCCCATGTTGTGGCCAAAATACCGGGCCGTGTTGACAAAGATTGGTGGAGTGCTTCAGGAGATGGGGGAGATTAAGTTTATGCTCTCTTCGGCAAAAGCTAACTCCCTAGTTCGAGATATAGCCAAGAGTGTAACCTCAGATGGTCGTCTCACTTCATACCTAGCGCGTGGTGGTCCGGCGTGGTTACATGATCGGATTAATCAAGAGAAGTTTGGGTGATCTTGTGAGTTGTTGTCGTTGTTAGTTCTATTTCTTTCTTATCGTACTCTGTTTCTTTTCTGTACTCTGTTTCTTCTCTGTAATTTTCAACTTTTCCTTATCAATGAAAGAGTTAAAAAAAAAAAACTCAATTTAATAATCTCATTCACATAAAAATAGTCATATGTTACATTGGCGACAAAAAAAAAAGAAGAGACATATGTTACAAAGAATTATCACTCTGATAGTTTTTTTTTTTTTGACATCATTATAAATTATAAGTCTCTCTTTGAGAGGGATCAGACTCGAACCCAAATCTGGTTTGAGAAAGACCGGATTCGATCTGGTGATAAGGAAATAGAGGTGAGAACCACTAGCCCACTTACTCTTTCTACATATAGTTACTAATCACAAAAGCGATATCAAAAGTGTTACTAAAACCGTTATTTTCAGCCTTTTATACACCATTCGTGTATTGTTTTCTTTTTATAATTTTAGTATTTTACATTATTTTGTAATAGCTAGCTTAACATGTTAAAAAAATAATATTCAACATGATACTGAAAAATGAATGGCAAAATCATCCAAAACATTTTTAAACCACATCATTGCAATTTATTATCATTATTTTGTCACATTTTTTTGATTGTACGTTGCAAATTATTCTTTTTATTATCGAGTTCTCCAAATCCACATGATTGTTCAGAAACTTAAAAACCACTAATAAGCTTGGTTTGCTATTTTTATTCAAAGATGAGTCCATCAAAGTCTCTAAGTCATTGATTCCATAAATCCAAACTTAGTTGTTGTCACATATTCACTATCATTATATATATAATGGATCAATGAGGAAATTGAAAACTTCCCATAATCATATCATCATCATTATCATCGACCATGAGAAAAGTTTCTTTGTTCTTGTTTTGTTGCATTGTTGCAACATATTTACTAAGTCTCAATGTAGTTTCATCACACGAGATGGTCGACGTGACAGCTCCAAACATGGTTAAAGACATTGAGCCATACATCTCTAATAGAGCTCTTGGGTTCGTGTTGAAATTGGAGAAAAACTGTCCTATAAAAGAACAACTAGGATCATTCTTTGATAAGCTAAAGGATCTCTTGAAGTTGGAGTCTTCTGTTACGCCATTGATCGAGAACAATGAACCCAAAACATTCGAGTTTGATCTCAAGTCTAAATCTGAAACACTCTTGCAAACAATGTTTAATCTTGGGAAAGGATTGGTTAGTTATCTCTAACCAAACATAGATGCTTGTTTGATTGTATTTTATTGCATTTTTATAAGTATTGCGTTTACAAATCTACGGATATAGATATATTCTAGTATCATTTTATGTCCTTAGACAATGAAGTTAGTGACAAGGTTATGGTTTAAGTAACATATGGAACTAATCAAGTTTTATTTTCTTTGATATAATAGTTGAGTTCGAGTGTAAGAAAGGAGATGTTTGAAGTGATGAAATCTCTCACTCAATTACATGCTGCAATCGGTAGAGTTATTGTAGAGAAGCATATAAGTGGTGACGATGAATCAATGTCACTTTCCGCGGAACAGAAGAATGCGGTAGAAAGCTCAATAACTGAATGGGAACAAACGATTAGCCGAATCGTGAAGATTGTTGTCGAGGTCAAATCAAAAGGTTCAACCGACGTTTCGTTAGAAGAAAATAGTAATTCTGGACATAACAATGTTTCTATGGATAGTAACATGGCGAATACCAATGGAGAGGATTCAGAAACCTCTCAAGGAAAAGAAGATGGCATTCAAGGAAGCTTTGGAGGCAATGTATCAATGGAGACTCAAGAAGGCAACAAGGGGGAAGATGATAAAGTAGGTAATCTTGTTTCTGAGAATAGTGGAATAAAGGACATTAAAGGTGAAAATGGAGACTCTAATATCGAGGCGGAAGTAGAGGGACAGGGAGGAAATTTAGGAGATTCAAGCGTTGGTAAGAATTTGGAAACTAATGAAGATGTTAAGTCAGGGATAGAGGCTAAAAATGTTGGAAGTTCCATGAATGAGAACTTGGAAGAAGCTAACAAGACTAATGGAGTTTCAACAATGGATATGAATTTGGAGAACAAAGGAAGTGACGAAGAGGGTAAAGATGATAATATGGTTAATGCTACAACAAATGATGAAGATCACATGAAAGAAAAGAGGGAAGAGACTCAAGAAAACAATGGAGAATTAGCGAAGGATGAGAACTTGGAAAACAACATAGGTAATAAAGAATTGAAGGGCAATGGATCAATAGAGTCCAAGACAAATAATGAAAATTCTATGGAAGAAAAGCGAGAAGAGATTCAAAGAAGTCATGAAATTTCTATGGAACATAAGCGAGAAGAGACTCAAAGAAGTCATGAAATTTCTATGGAACAAAAGCGAGAAGAGACTCAAAGAAGTCATGAAATTTCTATGAACAAAGAAACAACTAAAGGTGAAAATACAGATTTGAACAAAGAGAATGAAAAAAATGTCCAAGGAGAAAGTACTAGAGAGATGAACAAAGGTGAAAATGCAAATGTTAACAAAGAAAATGAATCAAAGGTTCAAGGAGAAAGTACTAGAGATATGACCAAAGGTGAAAATGCAAATGTTAACAAAGAAAATGAATCAAAGGTTCAAGGAGAAAGTACTAGAGAGATGACCAAAGGTGAAAATGCAAATGTTAACAAAGAAAATGAATCAAAGGTTCAAGGAGAAAGTACTAGAGACTTGACCAAAGGTGAAAATACAGACTTTAACAAAGATAATGAAATAAAAGTTCAAGGAGAAAATACTGGAGACTTGACGAATGGTACAATTTCGAATAATAATGAAGATGTTAAGTCGGAGGTAGATTCTAATGGAAGTGTTGGAAGTTCTACAAAGGAGAAGAATCAAGAGGCTCAAGGAAACGATATAGTTTCAACAAAAGATAAGAACTTGGAGAATTCAGGAGTTGATAAGGAGACAAAGCATGATAAATCAGTAGAGGTTACGACAAATGATGGAGGCCATACTAAAGAAAAGAGGAAAAGAAATGGAGAATCAATGAAGAACGAGAACTTAGAAAACATAGAACATCAGAAAGAATTAAAGAACGACGGATTAGTAACGGCAAAGACAAACAATGAAACTTCCAAGGAAGAAAAAGGAGAACAAATGCAAAGAGGTCATGATATTTCAATAAATGATAAGAAAATGGAGAATAAAAGTGGGAATGCATATGTGAACAAGGAGAACGAAGCACAAGTTGGAGACTCAACTAGTGACAATAATATGGAGAGTAAAGATGATGCTAAGCTGGAGGTTGATTTCAAGAAAAATGGTGGAGCTTCCAAGAAGGAAAAGAGAGAAGAGGTACAAGGGTCCAACGAAAGTTCACTGGAAAACAAGAATTTGGAGACCCAAAAAGATCAAACTGATTTGAAAGAGGATAGCTCTATTGAGGATAAGAGAAATGTGAGAAGTTCTACGAAAGAAAATCAAGAAGAAGCTCAAAGAAATGGGAGAGATAAGAAAGAGGTTAACGATGATAAGTCAACAGAAGCTAAGAGAAAGAGAAAAGAGTCTAAGTCGACAAAAAATAGTGAAAATAAGGTCAATGAAATAGAAAACAAAGAATCCAAGAAGGTAAAAGAAGGAGAAAAGAAAGAGTCTAAAGACGCGAAATTAGTGGAAGCTAAGGAAAACAAAGAAATTTCCATGAAAGAAAAACGAGAAAAAAGCCAAGGAAGTACTAGTGAAGGCCTTAATAAAGTAGATAACAAAGAAGAAAAGAAAGAGTCTAAGGACTATCAATCACGCAAAAATAAGGATAATACAGAAAGTTCCGTGAAAGAACAACAACAAAAGGCACAAGAAAATGGTGGAGTGCATACAATGATAGGTAATAAACAAGATAATAACGATTTAAAGGATGGTAAATCAGTGGAGGCTAAAACAAATAAGGAAAGTATCATGAAGAAAGATCGAGAACAAGCTCAAAGGAACGACATAGATACAATGCTAAAAAAGACTACAAAAGAAGATAAAAGTTCTGCTGATACAACCGATGCAAACTCAAAGGAAAAAGGAAAAGATAAACATGAGAATAAAGAGTTTAGAGGAAGTCATTTGAAGAAACAAAAAGAAGATAAAAAAGAGAAGAAAGAGTCTGGAGATAGTAAATCAAAGAATAAAGAAAAGAATAGATACAAAGATCATAAAGTGAAGATAAAAGACGAAAGTAAAACAAAGAATACAAATTCAAAGGAGTATGAATTGAAGAAAAAAGAAGAAGATAAAAAAGAGAAGATCAATTCTAGAGATAAGAAAAAGGAGAACAAAGACTCTGAACACCGTAAATCTAAGGAAAAGAAAGAAGAAAAACAAGAGAAGAAAGAATTTAGAGATCATAAAGATAATAAAAAGGAAACCAAAAAGAAAGAGAAGAAAGAATCAGAACACCATAAATCAAAGAAAAAGGAGAAAGAGAACAACAAATATGATGATACAAGAAAAGAGAAAAATGAAGACAAGAGAGTGATGAAGAAGGTAGAAAATAAAAAAGAAAAGAAGGAACATGAAGACAAGAAATCGATGATGAAAGAAAAGGATAAGAAAATGGAAGAATCGAAAGAGGCACAATCAAAGAAATTCAAAAAAGAGAAGAAAGAGTTTGAGGATAACAAATTGAAGAAAAATGAAGATGAGAAAAAAGAAACAAAAGAACACGAAGACATGAAATCAAAGAAAAGAAAAGAAGATAAGAAAGTGAACAAAAAGTCTCAAGACAAGAAAAAGAAGAAAGAAAACAAAGACAGTTCATCAAAAATAAATGTAGCAGATAAAAACAGTGAATCGAAGAAAATTGAAGAAGATAAAAAGGAGAAGACAATTTCCAAAGACATCCAACAGAAGAATAAAGAACAAGAGAAGAAACATTCTAACGACAAGATTACGAAGAAATATGAAGAAGGTAGAAAGAAGAAAGCAATGTCGAAAGAAAAGAATAAAGAACAAGAGAAGAAACAGTCTAACGAAAAAATTACGAAGAAAAATGAAGAAGATAGAAAGAAGAAAGCAATGTCTAAAGAAAAGAATAAAGAACAAGAGAAGAAACAATCTAACGACAAGATTACGAAGAAATATGAGGAAGGTAGAAAGAAGAAAGCAATGTCTAAAGAAAAGAATAAAGAACAAGAGAAGAAACAGTCTAACGAAAAAATTACGAAGAAAAATGAGGAAGATAGAAAGAAGAAAGCAATGTCGAAAGAAAATAAATCGAAAACAAAGGGAGAAAATAAGAAACCAAAAGAAAATGAAGACAAGAAGAAAGAGTCTAAAGAGGATAACTCAAAGCAAGGAGGAGTTCAAGCAACAACTCAAATAGAAGGTGGAGAAGGTAAGAATGAAATGAAAACAGATGCTCAAGTAAAAAGGGAAGAGTCTTTAAAAGATAAGAAAGGAGACAATAAAGAAGATCATGACGAAAAAGTGGATAAAGAAAACGATGAACATTATAAAAAGAAAACTGGAAAGATCATAAAAGATAAGGATGCATCAGACAAAGAGATAGAAGATACAAAGTCAGAAGAAAAGCACAAAGATAAGAAAGAAGCCTCGATGAAAAAGAATGAAGGGGTTCAAGAAGCCAATGTCACATCAAATATCAGCGGGAAGAAAGATCAAAATGAGTCTACTCATGATACATCTAAAGATATTAATAAGAATGATGAATTCTTAAGGAAGCAAAAACAAGTTGATGAGGGTCACGTAAATATTGGAGACTCGGATAAGAAGGCATCAGAAAAAAAGATAGATGATACAAAGTCAAAAGAAAAACACAAAGATAAGGAAGAAGCCTCGATGAAAAAGAGTGAAGGAGTTCAAGAAGCCAATACTACATCAAATATCAGCGGGAAGAAAGATCAAAATGAGTCTACTGATGATACATCTAAAAATATTAATAAGAATGACGAGACCTTAAAGAAGCAAAAACAAGTTGATGAGGGTCAAGTAAATATTGGAGACTCGGATAAGAACACGAAAGGGGAAACCAAAGAAAATAATGGAGATTTAGTGAACGGTACAAGTATAGAGGTTAGCGGAGGAAGCAAAGAGTCCGAAGATGGTAAAAACAATGAAACTAATCAAACTAAGAATAACTCCATGAAGGAAGTTTCCAGTGACGGTAAAAAGGTGGAAACCAAAGGAGGTAAAGAAGGTTCTATAGAGGAAAGCTCCAAAGATAATATTGGAGGCAAGGAAGAAAATTCCAAAGATGATAAGAAAGTTGAACATAACGAAGCTAAAAGAGATTTCAAGGAAGGAGGTTCCAAAGATGGTAACGCAACTAAAATCAATGAAGGTTATAAAGAAGATTCCAAAAATAAAGATTCTAAAGAAAGTTCTGAAGAGGAAAGTCTCAAAGATGCTAAGATAGTTGAGACAAGTGGAAGCAAGAATCGCACGGAAAAAGGTTCTAAAGATGATAACACAACGAACATCAATGGAGGCAAAAACGATTTGAAAGATGGTAAATTAGTTGAAACTAGTAAAGGTACAAATTCCACAAATGAAAGTTCTAGAGATGGTAATACAATGGAAAACAGTGGAGTTAAATTAGATTCTATGGAAAAAAATTCCAGTGATAGTAATATAGCTGAAACAAATGGAGGTAAAGAAGATTCCGTAAAAGAAAGTTCTGAAGTCGGTAAGAGAAATGAAACTAATGGAAGTAAAGATGTTTCAGTTCAAGAAAATTCTAAAGAGGGTAATGTAGAAGAAGTGCAAAAAGGTCAAGAAGACTCTACAAAGGAAGGTTTCAAAGAAGGTAAGGAAGATCAAGGTAATGGAGGTAAAGAAGTAACTATGGAAGAAAGTTCTAAAGATGACAAACAAATAGAAATCGGTAAAGAAGATTTAACAGACAAAATATCCAAGAATGGTACGACAACAAATTTAAATGGAGGTAAAATTTCGACGGAAAATGCTTCTGAAGATAGTAAGACAGTTGAAACTAATGGAGCTAAAGAAGATTCTGAAAATGGTAACATACATGAAACCAGTAATAGTACCATAGCGGGAACAAATGGACAAAAAGAAGAATCCATAAAAGAAAGTTCTAAAGACGGTAAGGGAACTGAAACCAATGGAGATAAAGATGTTTCAATGAAAGAAAATTCTAAAGATGGTAATATAGAAGTGAATAAAGGTCAAGAAGAGTCAACAAAGAAAGGTTTCAAAGAAGGCAAGGTAGATGAAACTAATGGAGATAAAGAAGTAAATATGGAAGAAGGTTCTAAAGATGATAAAACAGTTGATATAAATGGAGGTAAAGAAGATTCAACTGAGGAAAAAACTAAGGATGGTATGACAACAAGTTTAAATGGAAGCACAAATTCGACGGAAAATGGTTCTGAAGATAGTAAGACAGTTGAAACCAATGGAGTTAAAGAAGATTCTGCAAATGGTAATATAAATGAAATTAATGGTACATCAATGGAATCCAAAGGAGATAAAGTAGATATGAATGAAGATTCTATGAAAAACAAGACAATGGAAGCTCAAGAAAGTAGTAATGGAGATTTAAAGAATGGTAAAGTAGAGGAGGAGAACAAGGAAAGCAAAGATGTTATGAACAACCAAAACTTACAAGACGGAGGAAGCAATACAACTTTCATGAATAATCAAACAACAGGAAATGGCACAACTTCCACAACGAAACAAGAGATAAGGACAAATATCGAGACCAGCACATCTAAAGAGGTTACAAGTTTCATAACAAGCCTTGAGAAGAAATCTCCAGACACCCAAGAGTTCCAAAGCTTCTTTGAGAAACTTAAAGATTACATGAAATACTTGTGTCCGGACTCTTCAACATTTGAGGCAAAAGACTCAAGCTCTTACATGTCAGAAATGATAAGTATGGCCACAAAACTCTCGGATGCTATGGCTGTCTTGCAAGCCAAGAAAAGTGGGTCAGGAGAGGTGAGTTCATAAAACACAATACTCATATGAAAATGTAGAAAGCACAATAACTAAAAACTTTTTTTGATTTCTTAAACAGATGAAAACAACACTACAAGGATATCAACAAGAAGTGATGAAGACTCTAAATATCCTTCAATCAGTTATGTCTAAAGCCATATCTGAAAAACAAAGCACAGAAGGTGGTTCCTTGACGCTTACGGTATCACAACAACAAGCAATTAAGGAGATAGTGTTGAAATGGGAACAAGTGATGTCTCAATTTGTGAAGATTGCTACTGAGAGTGAGAAACAATTTTCAGTTGAGATTTCATCCGGAAATGGCTACCACATGAAGAAAAGTTCTAACTCTAGTTCGAGTTCAAGTTCGATTTCGAGTTCAAGTACACATTCAAATATGGATTTAAAGGTCGATGGTGAAACTTTGAAGGGACTAGATATGAATGTTTAGATAGTACATATGTAAATAATATACTCTAAAATAATGGTGTTTATGATTAAGTAGAAAATATTTTTAATTGTAATTAAAACTCAAGTCATCTTGAGGTTTAGATAGTACATATGTTCTATGGATATGTAAAAACAACAGGAAGTATCGTTAGTCCTTTAATTTATATGATGCACGTACGTGTTTTATGTATTTAGCATTTTGATTATTGTGCACATTTTATATTCATTAATATTCGAATGATTTTATATGAATCTAAACATCTTGAAAGCTTATGTTAATTTATGATAACAATTGAAAAGATTGCAAATAATATTTTTCTTATTGTTGAATAAGCTTACATTTAACTAAAATAAATAGTGAGTTTTCTATTTTGAAAATGTTTAACATAAAATTCTACATTTATGTTAACCAATTAGCTTATCTTCAATCTTATTATATAAAGTTGGGTTTTCAAAGTTAGTAATTAACAAGATCGTGACACGTGTTAATTGAATTGGTAAGATGTCGACACGTGTCAAATAATTAGTGTTAAGAAATTATATAAATTAGTTTTCAAAAAGGAATATTTTCAAAATAGAAAGAATAAAATAAAAATCAGGAAATTTAACAATTACTTAGTAGTAATCCATAAGGAAAAAGGATAATCATTATAAAATAAAATTATTAATGAAAATTATAAAAATTAGGTCTAAGGAATAAAATATTAAAAATAAAGTAAAAATAAATAAGTTAGTCAACTATAAGTTAATCTTAGAAAATATTTACTTTATCGTGATTATTATGTAATATTTAAATATATTTTATTCAGTAAATTAATCTAAATAAGTTTGTCATTAATGTGACATGTGTCAATTGTATCGATAAGATATTGACATATGTAAAGTTAAGATACATTAAAATATTTTAAAATTAAATTTATAAACCTATAATAAAAAAATTCTACATAAGTAATACATATAAAAGTATATCTAATTATAATGGATTTTTTTATGTTAATTGAAAAATTCTTACAATGTAAAACTTGGTTTTAAGAATTAATAACTCACGCGATTGTGATATATTTCAAGTAAAACATTAGATGCTGGAATGTGATACATCTAATTTTGTAAAAAAAATAGATAAAAATAAAAAATTACCAAAAATATATACATATTCAGAATTTTTTACGTATAATAAAATTATTAATCTAATTTTTGGTTATGTCGGTTTGGATTTATCAAAGAGATTAGGGGTTAATATTTACAACTAAACGAGATATATGTCGATTTTAGTTTATAAAGAAGGATTAAAGTTTATTTTTTACAACTAAACATGTTATATGGTTGCTTGGATTTATAAATGAGGATTATGGTTTAGATTTTACAATTAAACAAGGTTTTATGTCGATTTAAGTTTATAAATAAGGAGTAGAGTTTAGATTACACAATTTATACGAGGTTATTTAATTGCTTCAATTTATAAAAGAAATTAAGATTTAGATGGTACAATTAAACGAGATTATGGGTTTAACCAATTTTTTTACCTTTTTAATATGTTATAATTGATTAATGTTTAATTTATATTTAAATAATGTTGTATATCATAGTGCTATCTCATTGGCTAAAACAAGAGGGGTGGATAAGAAGGAACTAAATAAGAGTCATTATTTATTTAAAATAAGGATAACAAAAGTCAATATAATTAGTACTATAATGATTTTTAAATTTTTTTTTTTACAAATATGTAATTTTCTATATTTTCATTTTTAAAAAAATTTCTCTGTGCTCATCTCAACGACACTATAACTCATTTTTATAGATTGATGTTAATTTGTAAGAACTTTACCATCAAATTTTGTAATAATTAATTAAGTTTAAGAAATACAATAAATTGCAAAGTAAAAAATATGCAAGAATAGTTTTTTAAAAAACTGGAAATTTAGGAAATAAATTTTTTAGGATAATGGTATAATCATGTTTATGTTATAATATCTAAATTAATTTTTTGAAAAATGGTGAATAGCTCACAATTTTTTTTGGTGATCGATAATTTAACATTACTAGATTTTTTTAATGAATGTTTAATAACGATTTTATATAATACATAAATAATTTTTTTCAACAAAAAAACAATTTACTAACTTTAAAAATTATCTATTTTTGAATACTTGGATATAACATTTGTACAATAAATAACCCTAGACGGGCCTTAATTAATCTATATTAGAAAATATGATATTCAATTAATATTGATTTTTTTTTTGTTAATGTTATGATTTTCAAAATTTTCATACATGCAATATTTTTAATTCATACATAAAAACATAAATTTTAACCCGCGTTTTTACGCGGGCTTTTTGTTAGTAGATGTATATCTTTAAATAACTAATATATTTTATATTAGTTTGGTGAAAATAAAGATTTATTTTTAACTAAAACATAAATATTTATATTTTCTAATAAATATTCATTCAAATTGGATTTATTGATTTATTTTATTACAATTTTGAAAAAGCAAAATCTATCTATGAGTTATTAAAATATTGTAAACCCTTCTAGTTACATATCTTTTTAAAAAATTATTCAATACCAATCCAAATCTTTTTCAGAAACCAAAAAAAAAAATCTTCTGCAAAAATAGAATTTTTTAAAACTCCATATTGAGAAAACAACTAAAGTTTCTGTTTTTTTTTGTATTTTCATATATTTTTTAATTTTCTATTGGTAAAAACATTAAAAAGATTGAATAAAATATGAATTTTTACCAAACATTTGCATTGGAAATTTAAAACGACAACTATTTTGAAACAAATTTTGTAACTCTAAAACGACAACTAATTAAAAATGGAGGGAGCATATGATACTCTTCAACAAGACTGCACTTGATTTAAAGAGTTTTGGTTAGTGCTAGGAATTGGACATTACTCATATATTCTTTAGCTTCACACAGGAAAACATAAAGGATCAAGAATTTGAGTTAATGTGTTATTTATATACAAAACTTCTTACATTCATGTATTTTACAAAAAACTTTACTTCATGTATATATCCAAAATTTCTTGTATTCTTTACAAAAAGAAAATGCAAAAAAAAGAGTTAATTTCATATCCATGCAATATACACATGTTTGTAACCCTCTAGTATTGAGTATTTGTAATTACTAGACTTGTAACAACAACATAACAAAAAAACATTCTACAGCTCACTGCACTAAGCAGGGCCATCTCTTTATTCGAATTATTGTATTTAATAAGTTTTTGATATCTACGAGAGTCTGAATCTACGAGTCAGCATTGGCGGTACCAGAGCTTTTCTTTATTGAGGCATGGCTGAAGGAGCTTTTGCCTGAGGATGTTGAGTGTTTCTTTTCATAGTTAGCAGCTTGATAGCTAACAGAGCCTGCACTTGCACCAGAAGTTTCTCCGGCGGCTGCACCTTCCATGGAAGTTTCACTTCCACTAGGGCCACCCGCAGAGGGGCTGCTTGCTGGACTTCCACCTGTAGAATCTGTGTAGGCACCACCAGTCATTGAACTTCCAGTTTCAGTGGATCCTGAAGCAGCAGAAGAGCTTTCACCGCTTGAGGCTTCACCAGTTTCAGTAGTTTGAGTTGCTCCAGCTGCACCAGCACCACTTGAACTGCCTGAAGCAGCATCACTTGCGCCACCTGAAGCAGCACCACTTGTATCACCTGCAGCAGCACCACTTGCATCGCCTGAAGAAGCACCACTTGCGCCACCAGAAGCAGCACCACTTGCATCACCAGAAGCAGCACCACTTGTACCGCCTGCAGCAGCACCACTTGCATCACCTGAAGCAGCACTTGCATCACCAGAAGCAGCACTACTTGCATCACCTGAACTTGCATCACCGGAAGTAGCACCACTTGCGCCGCCTGCAGCAGCCCCACTTGCATCGCCTGAAGCAGCACCACTTGCGCCGCCTGCAGAAGCACCACTTGTGTCTCCTGAAGCAGCACCACTTGCGCCGCCAGCAGCTGCACCACTTGCATCACCTGAGCTTTCACCACTTGCACCACTAGCGGCATCACCACCACCCGCAGCAGCTCCACCACTTTCTCCACCTGCAGCAGCCCCGCCTGCCGTAGCTCCAGAGCTATCTCCACCGGCTGAAGCCCCACTGGTGTCGCCACCGGCCGCTGCTCCAGAGCTATCTCCACCGGCTGCAGCCCCACTGGTGTCGCCACCGGCCGCTGCTCCAGAGCTATCTCCACCGGCTGCAGCCCCACTGGTGTCGCCACCAGCCGCTGCTCCAGAGCTATCTCCACCGGTTGCACTTTCGGCACCTGTAGCTCCAGCACTTTCAGCGCCTGTAGCAGCTCCACTACTTTCACCACCCGCAGCAGCTCCACCGCTTTCTCCACCAGGTGCAGCTCCACCAGCAGCACTATCACCACCAGCAGCATCTCCACCACTTGTGCTTCCAGTATCACCAGCTGCTCCACTTCCAGCACCCATAGAACTGTCTCCTCCACTAGAACCATCAGTTGTACTTCCACTCGGACCACCAGCAGTGCTTCCATCTCCTAAATCAGTTACACTTCCACTCGGGCCACCAGCTGAGCTTCCACTGTCACCAGTACTGTCACCATAGCTTCCACCATCGGTAGGAGTCCCAGCATCACCCGAGGGAGAACTAGTGTCAGAGCTTGGACTGCCACTTCCATCTAACGGGCTACCACCTCCAAGAATAGATGCAAGATCAATATTTCCATCACCACTCTTGTCACCAACGTTTTTCACAAATTGACCAATCACTTGTGCCCATTTCGCCATAGATTTAACCAGCTCTGTTCTTTGCTCATTGGTCATCATTGTTGAACCACTCCTCTTAAACTCAGAAAACGTTTGCCCCATTGACATCAAACTCTCAATCAATTTGCTCGTATCAGCCTATCACAAAACCAAAAAAAAAAACAATATTGAATATGCTCTAACTCTCACCATGTAAACAAAAATTAAAAACACAAAACTCTCTTACCGATGATCCTGCTTTAACACCCAATGCAGAGACAGCCTTAAAGAGACTCTCAGATTGTGATTTCATCTGAGACTGAAAATCCGAAGAAGACCCTTGTGCCGTGTTTATAAAGGACATGAAACTCTTGAGCTTTGAGAAGAAGTCCTTGTACTCTCCATTTAATGGACACATACTCTCAAGGTTGTCAACAAAACTAAGCATACCCTTGTAAGCAAAAGGCTCAAAATCTTGGGAAAGTTTAGGAAACTTCCTCATGTAATGTCTTAATAAGAACGTCCCTTGTGCTTCATATATGGTACTTGATGCTACTAATATTAACATAAGACATCCCGCTATAGGAAACCTAGCCATTTTTTTTGTTTTTTTTATAGAAAAACTTAAACAATTTTTTTTGGTTTTTTTTTTGAATTGAGTTTTGTTTCTATGAGAGAACTCGACTTATATAGATGCCTAAAAAATTTCTAAATTTGAGTAAGAGAAATTGGTGGATTCATTTACGGTCACGAGAGAATAGCTAAAGAAACTACTGATGGTTCTCATGTTCCACATAACCGATTTGGAAGGTGTGTTGCAAATTGTGGTATTAGTGTATATCATTCTATATTTAGAGAATAAATTAAGGGGGAGTTATTGGGAGAATGACTTTTAAAGATTTTTAGAGTTTAAAATTCTATTGTTATTGGTGTACGGATTCTTAGATTCTTAATAAAATCTCTTGTTATTGGTGTATGTATTTTGTAATTCTATTTAAAATCCTTTGTTATTCAAAAAGTTGAGTATTTATTGATTTTCCAATTCTATCAAATTCTAGTGTTATTGGTTTTATGATTCCTTACATATTTAGTCATTAAAAACAACTTTCAAAATACTGCAATTATCATAAGGATTTGTAGAGTCTATCATATGAAGAATCTATTAAACTCTAAAAATCTGGGTAAACATTATTTTAGAATCAACAAATCTTTTTGAGAATCTTAAAATCTCTAAACTTTTGAAATACACAAACTCTTTTAAAATCAGTCTCCCAATAACTCCCCCTAATTTACCACACACATAACTTTAAGAAATAGAAATTTATATAAAAAAAATTCTCATATACGTACGTAAAATATGTTCTATGCATGCTACATTGCTTTTACAACTTTACTATACTATTAAACTTTACTTATCAAGTCCTTAATGTCAAAAACTTTTCATGGGAGTCCTTTAGACATATTAAATTTAAGAGAAGTGTCTATGAAGAAAGAAAAACAAGGAATAATTGGATTTATAGTACATTTCTCAAACATATTATGCAAACTGATACGTTTCCTATTCAATATTAGTAAAGTCACTTTCTACAGTATATCATTGTTTCTCTGTCCATTATGCCATTAAAAACTTGATTATTTACAGATCTATGCCATTATAAACAGTTACTACTCTTCTTTTTCTTCCTTTCTCTCTTTTAGTACGCTCACATTTTTTTTCTTTTTACTTTTTACTTTTATGTTTTTTTTTTCTTTTTATATTATCCCCCTTCAATCTAAAAGATATAATACTATTCAATAAAAGTAATACTTTTTAAAAAAAAATTCACATATATTAAAACCTAAATTTTTCTCTATTGTTTGATATGCATTTTGCTAAATGATTTTATTTGATGTTGTCAAATAATTTTTTCAGAATTTAGATCTGTACAACTTGATAAATGTACAGATTATCTGTAATCTATACAACTTAATAAATGTACAGATTACATATGTACAACTTATTATATGTACAGATGTAATTCGTACAACTTATTAAGTGTACATTCAGAAAATTTACTAAATGTATAAGTATAGAGTAATACACACAATTTAATCTATATATATATATATATCTACAATAATGAAATATATAGATTAAATTGTGTGTATTACTCTATAGTTATACATTTATATATATATATATATATTAATATACAAATTTTCATTTTTGTAGCAGAACCACTGTACAGAAGAACTACTGTACAGAAGAACTACTGTACAGAACAACCACTGTATAGAAAAACCACTGTACACCATAATCATGTACATTCCAACCATTGTATATATATTAATATACAAATTTTCATTTTTGTAGCAGAACCACTGTACAGAAGAACTAATGTACAGAATAACCATTGTACAGAAGAACCACTGTAAAGAAGAACCACTGTACACCATAATCATGTACATTGCAACCATTGTACAAAATCACAGCTTTCGGCGCCACTGCTTACGCTACAACTAATGTACAAAACCATCACATACAACATAGTGTTGTACATATAGAGAATGGAAATGTATATTCTTCCGTTTCACAAAGTGTGTCATTTCATAGTTTTATTTTTGTACATGCATTATTTTATATAGATTTCTTCTGTACAGTGATCTATATATGTACAAACATCTTTTTGTACAGTGATCTATAAATGTACATACATTTTTGTGTACAGTTATATCAAACTAAAACATTGAGCCATAAACATCTGTGTAATAAATTGTACGCATAAAATATGCATACAATGTATTTGAAACTATTAAACATAAAAAATTGTACATATATAGCTTAAATTGTACATATACTATATGTACATACATTCTTATGTACAGAGACATCTTTATGTACAGTGATCTATATGTACATATAATTTTATATATTTAGACTTTTATACAAAATTTTGAAATTATTTAACAAAATGCATATCAAACTATAGAGAAAAAAATATAGATATTTTTGCATGTGAAAAAAAAATTAGAAAAAAAATTACATTGGCAAATATTTTAATTAATAAACTGAAAGGGTATGTAATGAATAAGATAAAATAAATAATTAATTAAAAATTTTATTATTTTTCTTTTCTACTCAAAACTAATTGAGAGTAACGAGAGTTGGAGAGAGGGTGATGAGGGAACCTATTTTCGTCTTTACCCATATCCTGCATTACCCCACCTCATTTTCTATCTCTCACTCTTTTTATCTCATGCACAGTGTTTTACACCCATTTCACAAATTATAAATAGTATTTGTACTATATTCCTAATTACTTTCTGAAAATGTACTATAATGCCAACCTACCCGAAAAACAATATGAAAAAATTGTTGAAAACTCACTAAATCTCTATTTTTACCTTTCATGTACTTTTCACTTTCAAGTTGTAAGAACATCCCTCTTTTGAGGTTTTAAGCTAATGAAGTGATTGTTTGGACACAAAGAAAAAAGAAATCGAAACATATTAGAGTATTAAAAAACATATCAAAACTATATTCAGCAAATAGTATTTTAAAATATATTGAAAATTAACTGTATTACAAATAGTCTTAAACTAATGAGATTAGTTTTGCCTCTTGATATAGATAAGCTTGGATCCTCCCAAGCACACCCCAATGGTACTATGTATTATAAGTTTATAACATGCTAGTTGTTCATACCACTTAATAAAAACACTAAATAACTACGTTCAAAATGTAGACACTTGTATGAAAAAAAAAAAACATCATAACGTACGTAGTCATTGTAATCTATATTGAACAATAAGGTTTTGAGCATATTGATGACGAAAATGAAAACGTAGAGCTATTAGTACAGAAACTATATCATAAAGTAAAACAGGGTTTCTTCAAAAACTTCTTTATTGAATCTTAAGTTCTTTTTCTCTGAAATTTTTCTATTCACTCAATCTTAAGTTCTTAGATCATAATTCGATTTAGAACTTCTCTTAGAAACCTTAAGCCCTCTTTAAGTTCTTAGCTCTCTTTCTTAGAAGCTAAAACTTTATTGGTAGAAATTATGTTCTCTTAATTGTGACGAGCTTTCTTCAAGCCTCAACTCTCCTATTTACAGTATAACATCTATAAATTAATACTCGATATATTAATATTCTCTATAAATTAATAAATTTCTCCAGTCCCAAGTTGGGACCAGTGTAATTTTAGACATATTACGATAAAAATATTTTAAAAAATCCTTTGTAAATATATAGTCTCATCAATATTATAAATTAATAATTAGGTAAAACTTTCAAAATATATGTATATATAGGCATATTAGTTTTTGCTAGAGTTTATTTTTAAATATTTTTTTTGAAAAAAACTTTCCAAATTAGGAAATCTCTCTATAAATTAATAATTAATAATTTATCGATAAATTAAAACCTCTATAAATTAATAGATTTTCATGGTCCCAACATTATTAATTTATAGAGGTTTTACTGTATATGAATAGGGGTATTGCCACACAATAGGCCAATTCCATAAACCATGCCAATAGGAATATGTTAATTTCCTTTTTCCAATTTAGGAAAATAATATTTTTATTCTTATTTCCTTTATTTTCATAAAGAAAATCTTCTAGACTCTTCTCTTTGCTTTGTGTCTCCTAATCACCGACCTAGGTGATTTCCTACTTATGCTCCTTTGCTTATCCTTCACGTCTTGACTGTTGCTTTACTTCTTTTCTTACTTTGATTCTTCTTCACGAACTCTATCAAGTCTTTATTCATTCGTTCTGCTGTACTTCTTGAGGTTCTTCTCTTTTTATTGAAAAAATGTTGCAGGACATAGAGAAATAAAGAGAGACTTTTATTTGGGTATGGTAAAGAGGGCATGTGTATGTAACATGCCACATAATGTTTTGCTATATGCTTAATGAAAAATATAATATAATGCTCAAAGTTATTGTTTAATTCAATTTCGTTACTATAAATCATGCATTTGATTATTTCAAGTTAATTATCCATCGTAAGAATAAAATCTTTACTACTTAACTTGAAGAAGAAGAAAATTATATCAAAATCCCTTTAAATGGGTCTTACTCACTTATGTATGTTAACAATACAGAGCGCTTACAATCTATTTTTATTTTTTACAACGTTTTCTTTGTTTACTTACATACATTGGTTTATAGATAGCCACTTGGCCTATACCAATCTTAGTTTTATTTAAAAGACCAAAAACAAAATCTCTAGTAAGCTACTAAAATATAATATTTGGCGGTACTATTTAGTCTTTCTTGCTGTTTTAGGGTTTGACTGATGCTGGTTAGGTATGTTAACTTAGTTTTGCTGAGCCATTTTTGCACTGGTCTGGGATGAAGATGAAGATGAACTTGAAGAAGCAGCAGTCTCAACGAATTGGGTTGTGACTTGTTCCCACTTGGTGATTGTCTGCTTAAGCTTTGTCTGTTGTGTTGATGTAACTTTCTTGCCACTTACGATTTGGCTATTGATGTCTTGTAGTTCCTTGAGAGTCTTCAATACTTCTTGTTGGGAACTTTCCATGCTGGACTTGGTCTATCATTCCAAAAAAAATGAGAACGAATATGAGTTTTTTTTTTATGGAAAGAATCATATATAAGATAAGAATTCGAAAATGGTTTCGTTTTACGCACCTCTTCGGATTTGCTAAACCTTGAACGGACGAACATCATGGCCTCAGATAGTTTCGAAGTAGCAGATTTCATCCCGGAGACAATGTCTTTTGTGTTTGAGCCAGAAAGCTTTGAGGAAGCAGACATGGAAGTCTTTAGTTTGTCGAAAAAGACTTTGAGTTCTGCGTTGTCTTTATGCTTCTTCTCGAGATTCGAAATGAAAGACATGACTTCTGAGGAAGTTTGGCTCTCAAGCTCCTTCACTGATGAGCTTTGACTCGTGGATTCTTTCTTTTGCGAAGTAGCACCTCCACTGTTGGATTCTTCTTCACTTCCTTCACCGCTTGCAATTCCGCTATAGGATTCTTCCTTCTTTTGAGTAGGGGTCTTACCATCAGCAGGAGTTGAAGAAGAAGGGGTGGGAGTGGTACTTCCACTAGGACTGCCCAGAGTTGTACTAGGGCTCTCCTTTTCAGATGGTTTGCCAGATGCAGGAGTTGAAGAAGAAGGGGTGGGAGTGGGATTTCCACTCGGACTGCCTGATGTTGAACCAGTAGTATCTGTGAGAGTGCTACCAGAACTTCCAGTGTTGGTCTCTTTTGTATTGGAAGAAGTACCAGTTTGACTGTTAGACTCTTTCTTCGTTAAAGCATCTACGCTAGGAGTAACATATCCACCTTGTGGTAAGGATCCATCTAGAGGTGGGGATCCACTTTGAGGTGGGGATCCTCCTTGCGGCGGGGAACCTCCTTGCGGCGGGGAACCTCCTTGCGGTGGGGAACCTCCTTGCGGTGGGGAACCTCCTTGCGGTGGGGAACCACCTTGTGGTAGGGATCCTCCTTGTGGTGGGGATTCACCTTGTGGTGGGGAACCACTTTGAGGTGGGGATCCTCCTTGAGGTGGGGATCCTCCTTGTGGTGGGGATCCACCTTGTGGTGGGGATTCACTTTGAGGTGGGGATCCACTTTGTGGTGGGGATTCACTTTGAGGTGGGGATCCTCCTTGTGGTGGGTATTCATTTTGAGGTGAGGATCCACCTTGTGGTGGGGATCCTTTTTGTGGTGGATATTCACTTTGAGGTGAGGATCCACCTTGTGGTGGGGATTCACCTTGAGGTGGGGATCCACCTTGTGGTGAGGATTCACTTTGAGGTGAGGATCCACCTTGTGGTGGGGATTCACTTTGAGGTGGGGATTCATTTTGAGGTGGGGATCTACCTTTAGGTGAGGTTTCCTTATCATCATCATCATCATCATCATCATCATCATCATCATCATCATCATTATCAGTTCTTTTTCGAACGCTAGAGTTAACATCGACATCAAGACCGTAAGATGATTCGTCAATCGACTTTCCTGCCTGCTCAGCAACACTCTTTACAATTGTAATAACAAGTCGAGTCCATTTCACCATAGCCACAACCAATTCTTTCCTTTGCTTCAATGTCATTATTTTTGAACCTTGTCTCTTCTGCTCAACCAAAGTCTTTCCCATTGACAGCATCGTAGATTTTAATTCCGACTATTGCAAAACCAAGAAAAATAAATTGTAAGAAGGAAGTGTTAGAGAACAATTCTCTTGTTCTTGATGTATTCCACAAGATATTTAAACTGTTAGAAGTCTTATACATCATATGAATTTTTATGGTATAAAACTTACTGTTTGGCTGCTTTTACTACCAGTCAGTACAGACAAAGCCTTGGTAAGTAATTCACATCTCCCATCCATCTCCGTATCAACGTTTTTGGATGAGGATGATACTGAGCTAATGAAGCTAATATAAGACTTGAACCTTGTAAAGAACTCTTTGAACTCTCTTGTTGCAGGACATCCACCTTGGAGGTTCTTGATGAGCATCAACATACCCTTGGCAGCAAAAGGGGTAAAGTCGATACAACGTCTGGGAAAAAACTTCCTCCTCAAGTAAAGCTTTAATAAGAAAGTCCCTTGCACTTCATAGACCACACTTGATGCAAACATTAGCACCAGACATAATACTAGTAATTTTTTTGTCATTTTCTTATTAATAGAACATAAACAAGACAATTATTTTTTTTTCTTTTGTTTTTTTTTATTAATTTTTTTTTTTTTTTTTGAGATGATGTTTGTTCTTTGGAGAAATTTGATTTATATAGATGCTTAAAAAGTCTATTTTTAAGTGAGTTGGAGTAAATAGTGGATTGATTTAAGGTCTTGAGAGAATAGCAAAAGAGGTTCACATGTTTTACTTTCTATTTTGATGACAATTTATGTTGTTGTGCGCATTTCTCTTCAATCTATATTTAGAAGTATCAAAGCATTGACACTGATTAATCCAAGTGTCATGCTTCTAACCCTTGAATAATTTATCACACTAAAAGTTATCAAATTACATGACACAAGTTACATGCTAGTGTCAGGCATGCTCTCCTAACTATGTAGCTTTGATTGAAACACAATGTGTAAACATGTTCTAACCTGACCCGTATTCAAAGATTGTGAATCTTACAATAACACCTAATTGTTTACTGTAAACACACAAAAACCAAATATAACTATATGGAAAATATATATATTTGGTCATTCCCAAGCTTGTCATCAAATACAAACTATTAAAAAATTGCAACCTATAATGTTAGTTTAGTGCTAAAATGCTGACGCTAATTCATCGGTCTGCATCTCACCAAAAAAAAAATCATCGTTATGCAACCTTTATTTGGACACAATTATCGACATATAAATGATGTTTTCGATGAAATATTAGTTTTTTATTTAACAATAAAATTATATATAATATTTTTCTTAAATGTAATTATAAGTTTGGGTTATGATTCCTTAAATGGATGTTTCTTGTTATGATTACATTTTCATTCATGAAAAAGTGTGAAACAGAAATTTTATTACTTAACTAGTAAAATAAATTTTAATATTCATTTAATACCATAACTTATGAATTAATACTTTACAACAAGTTTTGATACTATAGTAATGTTAATTTAGCTTATTTAGTTTTTATTTAAGTTTTTGTTAACCTGGTTCGGCCTAGTTGGATCATATTAGTTAAAACTTTGACCCAAACACTTAGCCATTTTGATTTCCAATACGGTTTTAAATCATTGCAACAAGGAAAAACATGTATAAGAAAGCTATGAGAAGCTCATTGTGTCATGTTCTCAATGATACACATTATCATTAAAAGTTGTATTGTTTTGTTTGTCTATTATGGTTTTCAACATAGATGGTAAAATATCAAAAGGACTTTTAAAATAGTTTCTGATTAATTTAATTTTTAAGGAGACAAAAAAATATCAAAAATAGAATCATTAAGTGAGCTCTCTCACTTATGATTGTTTGTTACAATCTATATTCATAGTACACTTGTACTTAGTTATTCCTTGCATAGACTCGGTCGACAGATCTATGGCTGGCCTATACCGGTCTTGGTTTTATTTACAACAAAATTGAATTATTAGCTAGTAATTATAAACATAAGGCTTGTAATTAATGATGTCTTTTAAGTTCAGTTTGAAGTCATTTTTCCGACAGAAGATGAAGTAGATGAAGAAGATTGTGTCTCGCTCTGAACAGCAGTCTCGACGAATTGGGTGGTGACTTGTTCCCATTTGGTGATAGTTTGCTTAATCTGTGTTTGCTGTGCTGGTGTGCATGTCAAAGAACCTTCTTTCTTGCCTTTGTTCTGACTCACAATTTGGCTGTGGATGGTTTCTAACTCTTGGAGAGTCTTCATCACTTCTCCTTGGTAAGCTTCCATGGACTTCTTCACCTGTTAACATAACCACAAGAAAAATAAAACATTATGAAAATGGAATTTGATATTGTGAATTAGATAAGGACAATGTCTTGTTTTGTACCTCAGCTGATTTGCTTCCAATTCTTGACCGGATAAATGCCATGGCACCGGATACTTTCCCGGCAGCAGATTTAAGTCTAGAAAACAAACCTTTTCTTTCTTTTGGGGGAGCAACCATTGTACCCTTTAGTTGCTCGAAGAAGGCTTTGTATTCTTCCTTCTGTGGACACTTCTTTTCGAGGTTCATAATGAATGTCGACACTTGTTTGGAAGTCTCGGCCTCAACTTCTTCCACATTTACGGCGCTGCTCTGACTAACGGAGCTTTCACCGGCAGATTTTTTAGTATCTTTAGAGGAGGTTTCTTTTCCACTTGTAGTTGAAGAGTTTTCTTCGGTATTTTTAGCATCCTTAGAAGAGTTTTCTTTGGTATTTTTAGTATCCTTAGAAGAGTTTTCTTCGGTATTTTTAGTATCCTGAGAAGAGTTATCTTCGGTATTCTTAGCATCCTTAGAAGATTTTTCTCCTGTAGTTTTAGTATCTTTAGATTTAGCTTCTTTTTCACTTGAATCCGAAGACTTTGGACCAGATGGACTTCCAGTACTAGGACTGCCCGAGTTAGTGTCTTTGGAAGAGCTTTTGCTTTTTTCGCTTGAATCTCCCTTCTCAGTTGTTGAAGTTTCACTAGAAGAAGAATTTTTTGTGCTCATTACCATTGTGTTTGTTATTCGAGTAATAATGGTTTCCCATCTTATGATCCCTTCTTTGATTTCTTTTTGTTGTTCTGCTGTTAGCTTCATGGTGTCTTCGTTCTCATCCTTTTTGCGGCTGCCCAAAATCTTAGCCGCAACAAATCTCATAAACTTGAAGGTATCAATGACTTCTTGTTTCTCTTCTTGAATTTCCTTTTTTATCTGGTACACATTTTCATAATGAAGTAAATTAAATGGTAATTCATTAGCCATAAATCTTGACTTTGATAAAACAAAACTTACCCTTCCAATAGCAAAAGATGATATGGCCTGGAAGATGCCCCCGGCTTTCGCCTTCATGTCCCGGTCGTAATCGACTTGGTCTTTTCTTTTTATTGGGCAAACATACTTAGCATATGCCCTAAGTTTCGCAAAGAAGGCCTTAAATTTACTTGTCTTGGGACATTCTTTCTCGAGGTCCGATACGAAGACCATCACTACTTTAACGGTGTAAGGTTCTACATCCTTCACTGTCTTTGGAGCTTCAATCTGATCAGGCAAACTTGGCTTAAGCTTCAGGTGAGCTGAAACAACATCCAGAAGAGTCACCGATGCAAAAAGAATGGTGAAGCATAGAAATAGTTGAACTCTTGCCATTATTCTAAATCTTGTGTGTGATGAGAAACAAATGATGTAAAATGAATGAATTGAAATGGAATTCGTTGAAAGCTTTTATAGTTATCTTTCGTGTTCTATGTTTAGAATCAGTGATCAACTAACCATTGAAAAATTGGTAAATTAAATCAAAATAATAGTAAAAGTGTTTCATGTCCTTACATTTCACAAAATCAATGATGTTCATGTACTCTTCTTTTAACATATGGATTTAGCTATATTTATGACAATAATAGGTATTATCACATTACATTTAAAACTACCGTATAATTTTATATATATATATATAACTAAAAATTTTGATGCATTCTAACAACATTATTTTTTAAACCATTAAAATTATATATTAATATATATTAACCTTTTTTACATGCAACGTATATTAACAGTAAATGTCTGTGTAAATTTACGTTATTATTATTTATGATTAAAGATCTTATATAATTACATAATGATTTTTAAAAAAATTATTGTATTATGTTATCAAATTTTATTCATTTTTACATTGCCCTGACTGGAGACCAGAAATTCTATTACGTTGTAGCGTTTATTATTTATCTTGTATTATTGACTTGATGATTTTTTCTTCTATAGTTATTTTTAAAAAATGTTAATTAGAGAGATGGTCTTATCCCCTATATATTGATAGAGAGTTTTTGGTGGTGATGTGGCAAATCCAAAATTAATGTGAGCAATTTTTATGTATTTATTTACTTCTACCCTTCTACTTATCAAATAATTATTTATAATCATCATCATCATTACTAAACTGACCCAATTGAAGAACCAAAATCATCGTTATCACCATCATCGTCATCATTATTATCATCATCACCATCACATGCTTTTTGGTGGAAAGTTGTAGATTTATGTTTTTTACTAGAAACTTATGAGTTCATATTTTTGGTAAGAAATTTATATCCACGTTTTGTGGATATATTACAAATTTTATGTTTTTTTGCGGAAAATTGTGAATTTTTTCATTTTTTCGGCGGGAAATTGCGGATTCATATTTTGACAAATTTATGAATTTATATACGTTAAGTGGTATTTTTAACGGGGTTTAAAGTTGTTTTTATGTCGGGTATTGAGCTTTTCTTGTCTAGAACTTGACTGTTTTTGATACTTTTCCATTTACTTAGGTTTCCGAACCTGTTGAAGTTAAAAAGAGGTGTTTTAGAAATGAACTAGAGCGCATAACCGATCAACATAATGCCGATCGGTATATATGCTTTAGCCACATAGTCACGACATAAATACAATTTTTTCTAATTCTAAAGATCTTTCTCTTTGGAGATCTCTAGATAAACTCATAAATCTTAAATTACAGTGACCACCCTAGCTATGTGTGAGTAGTATATCTATTCTAGAGTTTTGGGATTTCTAAAGGAAGAGTTTCATAAAAGTACATATTATTATTTTCTTTATGAATTAATGGTTAATTTCACTACTTTTACTTTTATTCATGCTATTAATTGAATTAGACCAGTTTAACTACAGCTTAACTATAGCTCTACAATTGATGAATTGATTGATTTTTTTTGTTTAATGCTTCTTAGAATTTCTTGAAACAATCTAAAACTTTAGTCTTTAAGCAATTGCTTTCATATAAAATTATTGCTACGATAGTATGGTAGTTTTGCATGAATAATTCAAGTTCAAACTTTCTCATCATCAAACTTACATGCTTTTACAATCTTCTGGTGATATCCTTTGACTCTATAATTTCTTATATATTTGTACTTTAATTTATTTTATTTTATGCAAAACAAAACCACTAATTTTATATATGTGACTTCATTTGTTCTTTAGCTTAATCTAGTCTATATATATTGTAGTTTTAAACTATGTAATGTGATATTTTCTATTATTGTCATAAAAGTAGCCAATTTTGTATCTATAAAGAAGAGTACATGACCATCATTTTGATTTTGTGAAACGTAAGGACATGAAACTCTTTCACTATAATTTACCAATTTTTAATGGTTCGTGGATCACTGATTCTAAACATAGAACGCGAAAGATAACTATAAAAGCTTACAAAGAATTCCATTTCAATTCATTCATTTTACATTCTTTGTTTCTCATCACACACAAGATTTAGAATAATGGCAAGAGTTCAACTATTTCTATGCTTCACCATTCTTTTTGCATCGGTGACTCTTCTCGACGTCGTTTCAGCTCACCTGAAGCTTAAGCCAAGTTTGCCTCAGATTGAAGCTCCTAAGACAGTGAAGGATGTAGAACCTTACACCGTTAAAGTAGTGATGGTCTTCGTATCGGACCTCGAGAAAGAATGTCCCAAGACAAGTAAATTTAAGGCCTTCTTTGCGAAACTTAGGGCATATGCTAAGTATGTTTGCCCAATAAAAAGAAAAGACCAAGTCGATTACGACCGGGACATGAAGGCGAAAGCCGGGGGCATCTTCCAGGCCATATCATCTTTTGCTATTGGAAGGGTAAGTTTTGTTTTATCAAAGTCAAGATTTATGGCTAATGAATTACCATTTAATTTACTTCATTATGAAAATGTGTACCAGATAAAAAAGGAAATTCAAGAAGAGAAACAAGAAGTCATTGATACCTTCAAGTTTATGAGATTTGTTGCGGCTAAGATTTTGGGCAGCCGCAAAAAGGATGAGAACGAAGACACCATGAAGCTAACAGCAGAACAACAAAAAGAAATCAAAGAAGGGATCATAAGATGGGAAACCATTATTACTCGAATAACAAACACAATGGTAATGAGCACAAAAAATTCTTCTTCTAGTGAAACTTCAACAACTGAGAAGGGAGATTCAAGCGAAAAAAGCAAAAGCTCTTCCAAAGACACTAACTCGGGCAGTCCTAGTACTGGAAGTCCATCTGGTCCAAAGTCTTCGGATTCAAGTGAAAAAGAAGCTAAATCTAAAGATACTAAAACTACAGGAGAAAAATCTTCTAAGGAT